TATTGGAATTAACTTAAACTTTCAAAATTAGTATTTTTAAAGGGAAAGGTCGTGACGCCAATTATAAATAAACGGACAAAAGTAAATAGAAGTAGCGCCAACACCATAACATATTCAAATCCCTCGCTAATGATTAACTTAAATATTTTTTTATATAACACGAGAGAAGTAAAGCTCTCGCTGAACGTCAATATGGTAATCCAAAACCTAACTAAATATTTGCATTAAATTAGGTGACAGTTACCTTAAGCTACGAATTAACGAGCCCGCAATCCAACTGTTTCTCTGTTGTTTGTTACCTATTTACGCCCAAATTGTTAAATTTCTCTCGCAATATTTCGCATAGCGATAGATTACTTTGTGGAGTTTATGATAAAATATTTATGTCTCAAAAATTTAAGCTGTTTTCATACATCTTCTATACTAATATTATGAAGAGGCAGTTTGTTTATTTGCTTGTTTGAACGCGCTAATCTCAGGAACTACTAATCCGATTTGAAAAATCCTTTTTGCATTAGATAGCCTGTTTATTGAGGAAGGCTACAGGCTAAATATTATCATGCTACTCCCCAAGGGAGCGGAGCAATAATCATAAATGTTAACAAATCAGGCAGACTTCCATACATTATTGTAAAGGGAAGGGTCTAGAGACGAACCCGAGCGAATAAAGTGTGAGTCGCTAGTAAGTAATATATAAGTACCTATAATACATTACAGAGAGTAGAGTAAACTTATAACCCAAATACTATAACATGATACGAATCAATATTGTTCAGAATGCAAGATTCGCCCTACCGCCATTGCATCATTCCGCGAACGAAACTACGCGCACCATACATTTTGAATGTTCCATTTCACAAATGTATACATACTTTAAATGAGTTTTAATATTAAAAAATCAATTTAAGATAAGCGATAAACCATTTTTTTTTAAATTACTATACAATCTGTCTTTAAATCAAGAAATTGGGTAATAAGATCTACGAAGATGCACATTCACGCCAAGTAACCACATGTAATAAGCAAATAACGGTGGATGAAATATGTGAAACAAAGTAAATTACCTATTCCAAAGTACATTAGATATTCATAACATAAATAGACTATGCAATGTGTAACAATAGTATTCACCTCTACGTACTAATTGCTATCGGACACACCATATGACCGCTTCCATAAACTTGCGGTCGTAATATGTAAAAAAATGTGTACGAAGAGAAAGTTCCACCCTAACACTGCTGCTTCAATTCCATGAATAAGATAATTTAATTGGTAAATATCTAATACTTTCTTAGATTTACTCGAATGTTTGAAATTATTAAATAAAACTATCTTTTCGGATAATTTATTATGTCTGTAACAACTATACCTTTAAGACATGTAACACCTCAGTCTCTCCCGTGACCATGGATGCTGTAAAGCATTCGAAACGTCGGGAACCAAAAATCAAAATAAATACGCGAAATAATCCGAAAAGATAGTTTTATTTAATAATGGTATATATCTATCATTGAAGCGAAAAATGGGACAATCCTTGGAAAACACAAAAGAATTGCACATCCTACTTTAAAGGTTTTATATAAACTTTTAATAGATAGGTACCTTCTTGGAGTTGTGAAGTTTTACTTGTTTACTTCTATTTCTGTAAGCATTTTATTGATTTCAATAACAATTCAATATGAGTTTGCATTGGCGTATGGACATAATTAATGTAAGAGGCTTTACGTGCCTTATAAAGTTCCTACGTATGAATAGCAAACCTTGAATATTAAATTAATAAAGCCGTAATATTCGTTTTCTATACACGTGTAAACCTTTTTTTTTCTTGTTTTACAAAACAAACATTAAAAAAATTTAAACAGCTATATAAGTGCAACCGCGTGTCAAAAACAGTGTCAGTGGAAATCCATAAGACGGTGTAGATGCAGCGTGAATAGCTTATCTGTCGACCAAACCGAACTAGGGCAGATCGATACACGCAGCGAATCCTGCGTTTTTATTCTGTCATAAGGCAAACACCGCGCTATAACGACTGATAGGTACCTTTGTGTAATTATATAATTATAATCATTGGCTCGTCTGATAATTAATTATTTGCTCACTTCCTATATGTGAAAAGCTAATAAATAGGTTATATATTAAAAATAACGATAAGTATTTTATTAGGTTCACTTGTGATGTACAATTGTCGTATTAATTTAAAAATTCGTAAAAATGTCAAATCTGGGTAACATGTATTATTATAATAAAATAGTTAATTTAAATATTTTTACTCAATTATTTATGGATTTAACTCTAAAATATTAATAGTTCCTATAATAGGCAATGAGTCATCGATTCGTCACATTTATCTAGTAGTAGCGACTCACTCTCCCTCCGCTCGGGTTCCTCCCTTGTATACGTTTTAACGTTTAGTATAGATTTCTCAGAGATGAGATATTTTTCAGCAGTAAAAAGTATCTTATATGTATGTTGACCAGAGTTCGAAATGATAATTATCATGGTAATTATCAAGATAAATATGGGTTGATAATTATCTTTGATAAATATAATTGAAAATATTTAATTTGTAACTCTTCAAATTGTCGATCAGCTAACTGAACTCTCTCAATCAGCTCAAAAAACTCAATCAGCAAACTGAGTTGCAGTTACAGTTAACGCAGTTGAGGAGGATGGGGATGATATTCCACTCATTAATTTCACTTGATTGTTAAAAGTGTATAATAATTTATTCTAACGTAAATTATGATAGGTAAATAGTCAAATACCATTACCTACACAAAGATTGCTAAGTTTATATTTGTTTGATAATTATCGGATAATTATCTGATAATTATAAAAAGATATATCAAAATATATATTTATCTTGATAATTTTATACCCTGATGTTGACCCGAATAACCAGCTATCATCATACCAATTTCATCAAAATCTGTCCTGTGGTTTTTTCGTGATACGTTCCTAGACAGAGAGACAGACAAAAATTCTAAGAACTATATATTCGGCCTCTGTATCGATAATAATGACTATTACAATAAGATTTTCCAAAAAATATTTATGTACAGATTCAACTCAGAATTTTATTATATGTATAGAATAAATAAATATATCAACATTGCATTGATGTACCTACCTACTAACAGGGATTCCCGTAAAACGTAAATATATCACAAGTCCATAAACTATCACATATTATTTAATTTTAACTTATATGGTTATAATTATAAATTACGTAACATTTGTTCCAACAATATGTCTGAAATATTTAGGATAGAATGAAAGATAAGATAAATTAAATATGCATTTCTAAGAAATGCAAGCATCAAATTCCAGTCATTAGCAATCTATATCTAAATAGGCAAAGTCAAAACAGTTCAGTACTTTTTTCTTAGCTTAGATTTAGTGTTGTCATCATTAAAAAAAATTAAAAACAAAAAATATTATTGAATACAGTTGTATCTATAATCTATGCTAATATTATAAAGCGGTAAAGTTTGTGAGTTTATAACGTTGTAGGGGGTAATCTCTGGATCTACTGAACCGATTTAGATGAAATTTGGTAAGAAGATAGTTTAAGACCCTAGGAAGGACATAGGATACTTTTTATCCCGGAAATCATCCCTTAAGGGGGTGAAAATGGGGGTTTAAAGTTTGTAGTGGGAAGCGAGCTAGGGACGCACCCGAGCGAAGCTAGGGTGAGTCGCTAGTAATATATATATACACAGGAAAATTCTATTTGTACATGTTTTCCACAAATTTTCAATAATGATTATTATCGAATATCGATCACTCGGCGAACACCAGTAATATTAAAAAGTAATATTTCTATACGCTAGATGCATTCGATATTTTTAATATTGTTATCGTGTCAAGTTGAGAAGGACGATAAGGTGCACGCAGATGCCTGGCTGTTCATGCTATATCACTTAGCCGGATGACTCACGTATAATTCGAGTGACACTGAATTGCCCGCTACCGGTGTTGATACGTTTAACGTGGCCGATTAAGGAATTTCACGATGAAGGTCGATGGGTGTTAAGGACACGTATCGTTGGTAGGGAAATACCAAGAATTTATTTTATATTAATTTTTCATTAAATCGATACTAATATCATAAATGTGAAAGTAATTATGTTTGTTTTACGCTTAAAGAGTTGAACAGATTTCGATAAAATTTGGCCAGGACATAAATTGTATCCTGGGGACCTCTTACCCCATACCGCGTCGACGAAGCCGCGGGAAAACATAATTTATTATAAACAGGTGATTTTTAAGTTTTTGATATATAAGGGTGTATGATATTGTATGGAACTAATATACCAATGTATTTGTTGTAATAAAATATCTATCTATACATACTTGTTGCGATGGGGGTAAAGAAATTGTGTATATCTATATGTACATATAATAAAATTGTAACTAAGCCGAATCTGTACAGTAAATATTTTTTGGAAAATCTAATTGAAATAGACATTATTATCGATAGAGGCCGAATCTATAGTTTTTAGAATTTTTGTCTCTCTGTCTGTCTGTTACCGCATCACGGAAAACCCACTGGAGGGATTTTGATGAATTTTGGTATGGTGATAGCTGGTTATACTGGTCAACATATAGGATACTTTTTATCGCAGGAAAATATCGAATTTCTGAGAAAAAATGCGAAAACTGCAATGTAAGAGTATACTAATATGTAAACCCTAAGAATTTGGTTTTTGGTCATCTTAACGCGGGCGGAGCCGCGGGCAATGCTAGTAAGCTTATATATTTATAATTAGTTGTACATTTAAATTAAGATTAATTCAGTAGTACAAACGAATTAACTTACTTTCTACCGCATGGGAACGAATATTTATGAAAACAGATCTTATAAAGTGAAATTTCTTTAAAATCATTGTAGCAAAGCATAAAAAAATAAATACCATATACACATTGCCTCTTATAACATAAATACAAATATTGATTGATATCGCTGGAAATCTAGATATCAATCGGAAACTTACCTCAAACTGAGCACTGAAGGTCTTGAAAACGCCCTCCCAGAGGCTACCAGACTGCGTGAGAACTTGGACGATATCACCAACGTGTGATGTCGCCGCGTGCATGAAGTGCGCGTTATTGTACACACCTTCTGCCACCACTCGGCCTCGAGGCGATCTGGAAAAATGTTGATTATTTAAAAAGAAAATCTATGTTATATAAAAAAAAATCCAACAAGAGTCAGGTTGAAAATATTACCTACTAGCGACTTTCCCTAGCTTCTTGCGTGCTTTTTATATTTATAATCCATACTAATATTGTAAATGTGAAAGTGTGTTTGTTTGTTTATCCTTCTTTCACGGCGAAATAGTGACAGATTAGCCTGATTTTTTATGTGGAGTTGGAGGGCTGGAGAGTGACATCGACTATTTTTACCGTGGGAGAGATTATCTCATTCCGACGGGAAACACGTTTTAATACAATGCAAAAAAATATTCATGATTAGAATTATTTAAAACTTAGTATTAAAATTAATGCTCATACAATTAAATAAAAACGTGTATTAGCATTTTTCGAAATTCATCCCATAAATAGGTAAAATAGGTTTGTATGAAACCTACCTTTTTAGTTTTTTTTTGTAGTTTTATAGCGAGCGAAGCGGCGGGATATTATATAAAGGTAGCGCAATGTCATTTTTTTATTATTAACATCAGCCTATATGCTACTCCAGGTCATATCTATCTGTATACTAAATTTTATTAAAATTAGTCCACCCACTTCAGTGTAAAGGAGTAACACACATACAAACTTATGCATTTACAACAGTAGTGTGCTTATGAACTGTTAAGAGTAATCTCAAGAAGCTGTCGAGATTGCTTTAGCTCAAGTAATTTCTCTATTGCAAGTTATTTATCCTTAAAGATATTAAATCAAATCATATCTTCTGCAATAGTAAAATATACATGTCATATGATCAAAGTTTGATGTTACATAAATTCACAAATAAAACAGTGTTTATACGAAAATATATGAAAAATTGCTAACATTTCCATTTATTGGACCGTTCAACGTTTAGTATAGATTTATCAGAGATGAGATATTTTCCCGCACTAAAAAAGTATCCTATATGTTGACCCGGACAACCAGATATTATCGTACCAAATTTCATCAAAATCAGTCGTGGTTTTCGTGACGCACAGACAGACAGACAAAAATTCTAAAAGCTAAACAATAGATTCGACCACTATATCGATAATAATGACTATATCAATAAGATTTTCCCAACAATATTCAATGTACAGATTCGGCTCAGTTACAATTTTATTATAATATGTATAGATTACTTATACATACATAACACATTTAATTGTAATACAAAAAAAATCATCCTAATATAAGTAAATTCAAATCGCATATAAACTCCAATGTCAACAATTTAAGTTCAGATACAACTACAAAAGCAGGTCATTAACCCAGCATTTGATAAAATACTAACACTTGTTGTATAATAATGAAATAAAAAACTTAGTTCCAGACAGTCAATGTCAATTATTACATCAAATTAAAAGTGTTTTTTTATACATTTTATTTTTAATTCACATTATCATTTGCTTTTTCACTAGAAGTCATAAGTCTTTTAAGGCGTGTAATAAAATATTTCAAACTAGCATTGCCCGCGGCTCCGCTCGCGTTTAGATGACCCAAAAGCCAAATTCTTAGGTTTTATATATTAGTATACTGTTATAATGCAGTTTTTGTATTTTTTCTCAGAATTGAGATATTTTCCCGCCGTAAAAAGTATCCTATATGTTGACCCCAATAACCAGCTATCACCATACCAAATTTCAACAAAATCTGTCCAGTGGTTTTCTCGTGATGCGGTAACAGAGACAGACAGACAAACAAAAATTCTAAAAACTATAGATTCGGACTCTGTATCGATAATAATGTCTATTTCAATTAGATTTTCCAAAAAATATTTAATGTACAGATTCGACTTAGTTACAATTTTATTATATGTATAGATAATTGAACAAGAATGAGGATGGTAATAATCATCAGAGCAAAAACTTATCAATCATTCAGTTTCCTCGTCTTTTCAACTTTCCGCTGCACCATTTGATGGCGGTGTCTAGGTGATTTGTGGGGATTTTTTCTTAATATTATACTCCAGGCAGAAATCGAAGCTGTACTCGAATCATTGAATCTGATTAAGTCATAACATTTAAAGCCAAACAAATATTTATGCTAGGCGAGTTTCAAATCTCTGGCATCTTGGAACATCTGGAACATATAGAGGCCTCTCTAACTGACCACTGTGTAAGATGGCCATCCATTGTTAAGGGTGCGTTCAAGTATAACGCAACGCTAACGCAATTTTTAAAGATTATTTATATTTTCCAAATTTCGTTGGCATTTTTATGACACCGTTGTGTTGGCAAGTTAGCGAGGAGTCTTTTAAAGGAAAAGAACAGCTGATGATGCATATCACCTTCTTTTGAGGACATTACAGTATGAACTCACTTTAACAACACTGAGTACAGTAATGTGCTTCTGCGTAAACACTAACGAATACTGACAACGAACAGAAAATAAAAATGAAATACAATACAGTCGAGAGATTCCCCGTAAAACATAAACGAAAAGGGTTGCCAACTTAAGAGAACAAAATAAAAATGACGTACAATACAATCGAAGGATTCCTCGTAAACGATTTTAATTCCCTAGTATTTTTTATTTAAATTAAAAAAAATAACGTAACGCATTATTCGAAGCCCCCTCCCGCCCCTGTAACGCATCGTAACGTTTTACAGACCCCCCCCCCCCTCAAACTGCGTTACATTATACTTGAACGCCCCCTAAGTTAGAGAGAATAATAAACAGATAAATGACCACTAAGTTATTGTCTATACAGAATATATCGATTATTTTTGAAACATACTATCAAATCTCAGAGACTTTCTTCTCAACACATAAAAATTGCTATGCGCATCATCTGAGAACGACTGGACCGATTTGGTTAAATTTTTAATAAAAATGTATTGAATTCTTTTATTTCTTGGCTTCTAAATAAAAATGTTTATCATTGCCCATATAAGGATTTTAGGGGAGAAATTATCGATAGGACAAACTTCTGTCAGGTCATCTAACAAATAGCGTTTTTACAAGGTAAATTACCAATTTGCTTATTACAACTTGTGAGACAACGTATTGATTTTGCTTGAAAAAACCACATGTATGTTACATAGATTGAACCTTGACTAATTAGTAGAAAGTTCAATATTCAAGAATTCCTAATGAATTATATTAATCACTAATTACAATAGAAGCGTTAAATTTGATTTGACACGGCTTCCATCACTGTTCCATACCTGTGTGTATATAAACTCAAAATGCTCACATTCAAAACGTTCAAAATAATAAATAGAAATAGACCATGAAATTTTTGGAAAATTTAAAAAAAAAACAATTATTATAATATTTTGTACTAGCGACTTAACCTACCCTCGCTTCGCTCGGTGTGTTTGATACATTTTGGGTGCGTCACGTTTTAATTTTTTTGAGCGGAACCCTAATTGTTTATCTAAAACAAAAGCAGCCTAAGTTACTACTTATACATAACATCAGCTGCTAGTCAGTGAAAGTCCCAGCAAAATCAGTCCAGCCGTTTTGGAGATTAGCCGGAACAAACAGACAGAGACAAACAAAATTTTTATTTTTCTTATATGACATTACAAACAGACACTTCAATTGTATTTATCTGTATAGATAACAAACACTTTCATGAGCAAAGAATACTTAAATTTAGGCCTAATTGAACAATTTCCAATCAGGTCTCGGCCTAACGTAATTGTGACAAAAAATGCAAAAAAATATATTTGATACTAGTTTTTTACGCCTTTCCGCTTCGAGTTGTCAAACACTAATTAAAATATTCTCATTTATTATAACGGTTTTCTTTTAATTCGACGCCAATAGGTAATTTTTCTTAAATCGTAGTTTGATGCCAATATTATACACATTTACCATAAAAAAATTTTTTCTATAAATTTCAAGATAAAAAAAATAAGAAAAATATTTTGAGTCTTATCACTATGGTTTTAAGGTAAGTAATTCGCGCGTCAATCTATTCAATTTTAACATATTTTAGAACTACACTGAAATGGGTTGGCAATGAATTTTGCTATACGTCTTGACTTTATAGTCACCGAAATCAATAATTATGTATCGATCAAAATTAAATTCCAAATCGATATTCTTAGTTTATTACCTAAACCGTCCCCCATTTCCGGAAACCCTCTTAAAATAAACTGTTCTAAAAATACATTTTTAAAATGTCACCTATTTTCATCAACCAAACGAAAATCGGAAGCGGAAGTGTTTTTGTTTTGTTTTAGACTGCACTTCATGTCTTTCTTCGCTTAGTTCTAGTACAACACTAATATACTTAGTACGTGTTCACTGTTCAGATAGCCCGGTGGTAACAGACTTGCTTGGAAAACCAAGTGAAGCGGGTTCAAAGCACTAGATTTTTTTTATATTCTCATGTGATGCGAATAATCTTCTACAAAATTACAACAACAATTTCGCGTGATGGTGAAGGGAAACATAGGAATATCTGAATGTCTAAGAACCTAGCCTCCTTTTCGAAAAACATGTCAATTCCGTTTACCCGCACTTGGCCAGCGTGGTTGGTGGCTTTGCCTCCTGAGAAGGCCCGTCGTTAAAAAGGTCTGAATGAAATGAACTAATGTCTGTATATTAGTTGACGCAAGAAATTTTATCTTTTTAGCCGTTTAATGCCCGATTTCACCGACGTCACCTAAGTTTAACACGTTCGGCCCAGCGCCACCGTAAGAAGATTCTCGCAGTGTGACACACCGTTTCCCCATACAAATTGGATTTACGTTGATAAACGTTGTGCTCTTCATGTGTGCAAGATTAATTTTTGATGCGACACAAACGTTGAGAGACGTCGACGTTTTATAACGCTGTGTCACATATAGTTCGAGTATTTACCATAAGCTAGAAAACAACGTCAAATCACGTTGACATTAATAAACGCTGCGTCGCATACAGTCAATATAAGGTATAGAAACCTAAGAGCAACGTTTAGTTACGTAGACGTTCATAGACGTTGCGTTACTGAAAGTGAATTATGCTTATGTAAAACGACTATCAAAGTCCTATCACGTTGACATTTACTTTTTGATTTCTTCGGAATCTGTATCTTTGTAACGGTAATTACGTGAGTTTCTTACACCTCGCAGTGAGGACTAGTGCGAAGCTGCCAAGATCATAAGACCCAACCATGTTTGGTGGGCCGTAGACTCCTTTAAGCCCTACAAGGCGAGAGGGGAAGACGGGATACCACCAATCTTACTGCAGCAAGGGGTGAACATCCTCCTTCCCCACCTGAATATATAAATCTTCAGAGCGAGCTTCGCCTGGGGATATGTACCAGATATATGGACCCATGTCAGGGTCATATTTATACCTAAAACTGGTAAAAAAGACTATAGCCAGCCAAAGTCTTTTAGACCAATAAGCCTCTCTTCATTCTTACTCAAAGCAATGGAGAAGGTACTGGATAGGTATATAAGAGATGAAGTCTTGACTAAAAGTCCAATCTACTTTAACCAACATGCATATCGTAAAGGCAAATCAACCGAGACTGCCCTTACAAGTCTTATAGACCAAGTGGAAAAGGCGTTAGAAGACAAGGAAATAGCACTATGTGCATTTCTAGATATCGAAGGTGCTTTTGATAACTCTTCTACTTCGCTGTTGGTAAATGGGTTGATAACTAAAAATGTCGACCAAACAACGGTAAAGTGGGTGAAATCTATGCTCACTAGCAGAAAAGCAAAACTAGCCCTCCACGATACAGCTATCTATATATCCACAGCAAGAGGATGTCCGCAAGGGGGAGTTTTATCCCCATTACTGTGTACCCTTGCTGTGGATGAATTACGTCGCTATCGGTATTTATGGATTCTGGATCGTAATCCTTGTCAGTATCGTACTCTCCATCATCACTGAAAGGATCAGGAGTAACTTCCCAAGACGAAGAATCTTCAAATACCTTCAGAAACCCCTTACTGTAGACACGCTTTTTATCCATCTAAAACAATATCAAAATTAAAATATATCAACTAATTATTATAATTATACAAAAATAAATGTAATATACATTTAAATATACACACTTATTTATAATTATTATTAAAAATAGACATATTATAAAAATCTTACGGTTTATCGTTCACTTCAATACGGTTGAGCGACGTTCGCGCAGCACGCGCTCTTCTTGATGCGGCGCAGAACGACAGAAGCTAGCCGCGTCGCTACTCCCCGCGACGTGTACGGACGTTGTGGGTATGCGTATGTGAGCATGTGTGCGCGTGACGGATGTTAGCAAAATGCCACTAAAAGTTGATTCGTTGCGGCAGTAGACTTTTGAAACTTCCAAACGATGCAGCGCAAATACCTCTTTAGTAGAATATCGTATTGACTCCTGACGTTATGAAACGTAGGGCGAATAAATGCACGTTTAAAGTAGACGTGACTAAACGTTGTGTCAATTATTTAATTTCTAATTTTGCCGTCATGAGACGTTGCTGGCCCGAAAGTGTTAAGGGATCCCCTAAGCATGGTTAGGGGGCTGTTAGCGGACAGTTTCTGTTTCACCGACAATTAGGGGTCACCTAAATATTAAAAATAAACCTAAATTTAGAACCCTAAATTTAGGTGCTCGAAATATAAGCTTAAATACGATCGTAAACGAAATTTAATTTAGGGGCTAGTTTAGGGGACTTTTAGGCTAGGGATCCCATACGTAGATGGTAGCTTATGGGTTGTTGGTGAAATCAAGCATAAGTGTATACAGAATATATGAATTATCAATTATGTATGTATGTGAGATCTTACTTTTGTTTGAAACGTATTCAACTTTTGTATTACTGGTTAGTTATAGTCAGTGATCTATAAACTTATTCGACAAAACATCTATACCATCTATTAGCTACAACTGCCCATAATTTTCTTAGAGAAATAATTCAGGAGTCTTATCAAAACGAACGACCGATGTACGTCTGCGAAAGTTTCTTATATAGTGCGTATCAAAGTACAATAGCTGGCGCGTGAGCAGTGAGTTATATCTGATAATTTGAGATTTATTAATCTGAATGCGAGCGAAGCCGGCATAGGTCGCCATATTCAATAAATTACGATGTAGATGATATAAATAACGTACAAATGAAAGGTACAATACTTCCTTCCTGCTTTGTCAAGAAAGTTTCATTAGACCTATTATATACATATACAATATGTAACATACATTTAATATAGAATTTAAATATTTCATATATTTTTGACTGCTTGCATTTGAAATCTATACATACCTATAATAAAATTGTAATTAAGCTGAACCTGTACATTAAATATTTTTTGGAAAATCTGATTGAAATAAACACTACTCTATATATTAGAAGAATCTATAGTTTTTAAAAATTTTGTTTGTCTGTCTGTCTGTTACCATATCACAGAAAAACCACTGGAGGGATTTTGATGACATTTGGTATGGTGATAGCTGGTCATCCGGGTCATTATATAGGATACTTTTTACCGCGGAAAAATATCTCATTTCTGAGAAAAAATACAAAAACTGCAATGTAGTATACAAGAGTATACTAATATGTAAGTAAACCCTAAGAACTTGGTTTTTGGTCATCTGAACCCGGGCGGAGCCGCGGGCAATGCTAGTACTATAATAAAATTCTGAGTCGAATCTACTCTGTACATTAAAATATATATATTTTTGGAAAATCTTATTTAAATAATCATTATTATCGATACAGACAGAAACTACAGTTTTTAAATTTTTTGTCTGTCTGGTTACACATCACGTGAAAACCATTGGACAGAATTTGATTAAGGTGCTTTGGGGTTATTATGAAAATGGGGATATTGCGAAAATTACAAATTACTACCAAACCAAGCAATGTTTTTTGCACTGGTAACTTTAATAAAGACGCCATCTTATTTCCCACTTCCCATCAGTCACGACGAGTAGCACGTAACGAATGAACGTGAGTAAAATCATTTTTTCGTGTACAACGGGTATATTCATCGTTTTGTGGATTTTCATAATTACCCCGTGTAATATATCTCAGATGTTTGGTAAGTAATCTTATTCATTGTTTTTTTTAATAAAACATAATCATTTTTACTACTTCTTTTTGTGGGCCAGGATAGGTTAACTCTCTAACTTATGTTCAATATGGAAATACCCCAACGGGGTATATCCAAATGAAACTATCACAGACGTATCATCGAAATTACCCCAAACTGCTTTTCTATAGGAATTTCCAATGGTTCTCAACATAATTGCTTAATATAATACTTTCTTAGATTTACGCGAATATTTGACATTTTACATAAAACTATCTTTTCGGATTTTGTCGCGGATTTATTTGCATTTTTGTTTCCCGACGTTTCGAATGCTTTACAGCATCCATGGTCACGGGAGAGACTGAGGTGTTACATGTCTCGAAGGTATAGTTGTTACAGACAGCCTACCTACAATTAACAAAATGAAAATTTCACTAATTACCTTACAATATTTTTAAACTTTAAACATTTTTATAATTTTAATTAGTTTTATAATTGAATATGGAATATTATTTATTTAATTTTGCTGTTATTATTATAATTATTACAATTTTAAAATATTAATTAATAATCTATATTTAGTGTTGCCATTATTATATTTATAACCATAAAGAAAAATATAAAATATATAGTATTAATTATTTAAGCCATATAATTGTTCTATGTGTAATTTAAAAAGTTAAAATTAATTAAGGATAATAATTTTAATTTAGATTGCTATTATTTAAAAGACAAATTACTAAGCAACACTATTACTATACAAATGAAAAATATTTATCAATCTGATATGCTGTCATTTTGATCCACACAGTAAGAACTTACTACATCTGCCTGTCTGTTATGTTTTAAAATTAATTCGAGACATGTAACACCTCAGTCTCTCCCGTGACCATGAATGCTGTATAGCATTCGAAACGTCGGGAAACAAAAATTCAAATAAATCCGCGACAAAATCCGAAAAGATAGTTTTATTTAAAATAATTGCTTATTGCTCAAAATCTGAATTGAAAATTATTATTAATTTGTAAAATTTGTTACAGAAGAAAATGCCTCGTACATATATTAAAAAAAAAATTGCGCCGTACACGCAGGAGGACATGGCCAAAGCGATTCAAGCAGTAGTTAAAGGCGAGATGAGTATGTATGCTGCTGCCAAAATATTTAGAATCCCAACAACAACTCTATTTGGTAGAATAAAAAAAAATTCTAGAGCTCCAAAAGTTGGCAGACCATTAGCTATACCATTATCATGCGAACAACGATTGGCGGATGCTATAGCAACTATGGAAAAGTGGGGGTTTGGTCTAACGAGACAGGAGGTATTAGCAATTGTTGCTGAGTATGTAAAGAAAAATAATTTAAACACTCCCTTTAACGATAGTAAACCGGGGCCTGATTGGTTCATAAATTTTAAGAAAAGGCATGGGCTCTCTATAAAAAAGCCCCAACCAATAGAATACTTGAGAAAAAAAATGACAGATCCTTTTATAATATCTGACTTTTTCACATTACTAGAAAATACTTTGACTGATTTGAACTTATTTAAGAAACCAGATCTAATATGGAACTTAGACGAAACCTCTCTGTGCCTAGACCCAACGAAGACTAAAGTAGTTGGTAAAATTAATAAGCCTTGTTCGAGGACAACATGTGGGACCGGGAAAGAAAATATTACCGTCTTAGCGGCCGTGAGTGCAACTGGAAAAAAAATTACTCCTTTGATCGTATATAAAGGGAAACAGATGTGGGATCAGTGGATGGCAAAATTAGAAGGTTTTGATTTTGAAATATCATATGCAGCAAGTTCAAGAGGGTGGATGGAGACGAACATATTTTATAATTATCTTGAAAAAATTTTGATTCCTGAACTCGGTAAAGAACGCCCAGTTCTATTAATTTTTGATGGCCATTCTACTCACGTAGACGCTAACGTTGTAGAACTGGCAGTCAAAAATAATATCACAATTTTAAAGCTTCCCCCTCATACTTCGCATTTACTACAGCCACTTGATGTGGCTGTGTTTAAATCTTTTAAAAGCATGTGGGATAAGAAATTAGTTGAGTGGCAGCGACATAATGTAGGTAAAAAAATGCCAAAAAATGTTTTTGCGCAAACATTTGCAGAGACCTGGCAAAAAATTAACACTGAAGTTATTCAAAATGGATTCAAAAAATCCGGAATTTATCCATTTAATCGGAATATAATTCCAAATGACAAATATGAACCTGCTGCACTTAAAAGATATAAAACACAGGTATGTAGAACTCCAAAATCACTTAGGTCTTTATGTATTGAAGTTTTAAATAGTAAAAGTAGTATCACAAGTAGTACTATTGACATCAGTGATCCACTCAAAGAAGACACTTTTCATATATTGACAAATACACAGCTTAACACTGAAAATGTCACAATGTTAAGTGATCTTTCTGATAGGAAAGACAGTCAATTACTACCATTTATGGCAAGCCAAACGGCAAGTTTACCACAATGTTTGCAAGAGGAGAAAGAGAGTTCTGTAGTGAGTTTTGAAGAACTTGTATTAGAAAAAATACAACAGGGTAAACATAATATTCCGTTAAAAAGAAAAAGAGTTGCTAAAGGAGCTGAAGTAATTACACTCAACATTTTAAAAAATAATAAAGAAAAAGAGCAGATAGAGAAACACGACAAAAAACTAAAAAAGCCTAAAACAAAGTTAGAAAGTATGCCCAGTTCTTCGAAATCCCACAACACATCTTTCAAAAAAATTAAAAGGCGATCGAGTGCTTATTCAATCAGCGGCTTAATGACTGATGATATTTTAAACACTAATGAAAATATTTCCGATTTTGATATAGTGGCATGGGCTGATTCAGATGCTATTCATATGGATAATGAATTGAACAAAGAAAATATATCCGAATATAATTTAAGCCAAGCACATCTAGAAATAGAAAAAGACCAATACATTAAGAAAACTTTTTGCTCCAGACGTGAAGAAGATGAAAAACCCATTACGATTTTAGACGAAAAAACAGGATGTATTCGATCTGTACTAGTGGCAGCTAGCAATGACTATGATGAACCAAAAAAGAATAAGAGAACAAATGCAAATAATATAACTACTCAACGAGAAGCACTTACTTATATAAAAAAAGACACATGTAAACAAAGAACCAGAAAACTTAAGAAACAGAAAAAGTGGGAAAATAGCTCGACCACTTCAGAAGATAATATTATGAGCGTCCATAGCGACAGTGATATAGATGAAATATTGAGCCCAGATGACGGCGAAGAAGAAGAACAGATAATAAAAAATAAAGTTGATATGAAAGAAGCCATTATATTCGAAAATATTAGACGATTAGAGGAGATCGATAAGACTGTACAACTACATAAAACTGCGACCGAAAAATCTAAAATAGCAAAAAAGATGATGAATACGAAAGAAGAAGAATGTTTTGATGAGGAAAATAATAATATAGTAAATTCTGTAGTACAAAAAAATAAAGTAACAGAAACATTTGATTTGGGCAAGACTATAATCGTTAAATATTATATTAAAAAAAAGTGGAAGTATTATGTCGGTGTGATAACCGAAACAAATGGTAACCAGCTCGACAAAAGGTATGGAACATCTTTTTATAAAAGTAAATGGAGAAATAATATTTTGATATTTATGAAACCAAAAAAAGCTGACACAGATTGTATACCCGATGATTTAATCGTAAAAGAAATAGAATTAATACAAATAAGAGAAAATCCCGATGAGTTTGTCTTAAAAGATATGAAAGATAATGTTTATTTTTAATTTCATATTTCAAATGAGAATATAATAAAATAATAGACAAAAAATAATTTAAAAAAATTAAAAAGTCGACTGTGTAAAAAACGAACTAAAAAGATGAAATCAAGTTGACGGAGGAACATAGTATTATTCATCGGAGACATACATATGTAAGTACAATATACATATGTACTCGTACATGTTCTATACTAGCTGCGTGTGTGTATGTCTCCAACTGCATAATACTATGTTCCTTCGTAAACTTCGTAATCTTTTAGTTCGTTGCTTATGCAGTCGGGTTTTGTTATTTTTATTTGTAGACTGATTGTTACAATTTTTACATAATTAATATCTTAAGTGCATTTTTCGAATTTTTAAAACTTTGACTGATTAATTATATAGTTTATATTATGTTACTACTAGTACTTATAGTATTACATATTAGAATAAAAGTGAATAGAAATATCTAATTTGTTTTATTTATTGAATATTCTTAATCTAGTGCAAAAATTAAAAGTATAACGAATTATAATTTAAAGATATACTTACATTCATACATTTCTTGGTTGCTTACAAGAGCTCTATTTTTATTTCACACGTAAATAAAAGTAAATATTAATTTTATTACATAATTTAATGTTTGTTTAAATATTTACTGCTTTATATTCTAAAAATATTTGATTGTGGACGGTCTACATAACTACTATTATGATTACATGTTGAGAATCAGTGGAATGTATATGGGGTAATTTCGAAAATCAAAGTGAACAATTATATATTTTGGCTAAGACGTAAGGAATATCAAGTTTTTTTTTAAAGAGGGGAAAAGTAAAACGAAAAGTAAATTTAAACCTTAATTTAAATGTTTAAAAAGATAGCTTTTGAATTTGGTACGTAATTACCCCGCGATATTTCGGAATTACACTAAACTAGTAGAAAAAAATCGCTACAATTTAACTAACTGTATTTAGGAAACACAATGATATTTCAACAAACAGTTTCCTTTAGTAGTACGGGTATACATTGTTATTAACAAAAGTGATCAGAAGTTCGTATTAAATTCGAAAATTCTTTAAAAACCATACTAAATATATGCATCATGCTAACTAATCATAAAATATGTCGAAATTACCCCAAAGCACCTTAAATTTGGTATGATCATAGGTGGTTATCCGGGTTAACAAAATATAGGATACTTTTTCTGCGGGAAAATATCTCATCCCTGAGAAATCTATACTAACCGTCAAAACGTACCGAAGGACGAAACCGAGCGGACGAAGGGCGAGTCGTTAGTATAGTATATAAATATTATATAAACAGTTATTATACTCTCAGTAAAATGTACTTATATACGGTAAATGAGTAACTAAACACTCAACAGTCTCTCATTAATTAGTGACCTCTTTTTTAGACCTTTTATGGATGGATTTGGCAAATATTTGCCTAGAGCAGGACTCAAACTTGTTGGCTTCGAAGCTATAGATATTCAGGCCACTCCACTAGGTATACTGCACTCATTAAATATAACATAATATTACATTACTTAATTTTTCACAAATTAACAAAAACAAATTAAATTTTAATGAATAGTAGAAATAAGATCTATAATACATAAGATCCAAGAATTTAGTAAGATGCTGTTACAGAGACTCATTACAGAGATTTTTTATAAACACGCACCAACTTTCCACTACATTGATTATATTTACATAGCTTAGTTAAGGAAAAAGTTAATATTTTTCACTAATAAATATATATATATTTTATAGTATTCTGAGTTAGTGCTTGACTACGTTCCACCTGATTGTAAGTGGTAACGTAGTCGTAGATGGTAAGTTGTACTAATTCAGTAACCACCTATTCACTCTTGCCTTGAAGACACCCATGTTATTATGTGCTAATCACACAAATGAATGCCCACAGCGGGATTCGAATCCGCAAACGCTGGCACAGCAAGTAGGGTCACTACAAACTGAGTCAAACGTGTCGTCAAAACTCATAAGTCATAAGTATACACAATACTATGGTACATAATTGGGTCAATAAATGTAAAAGCACTGTTAAGATAACCTTCATTGATTCAAAATTATAATTATTATGAAAAAAACCCGATTCTGATCTTCCAAGTATAATAAATGCCCATGTTTTGTTACACAATAATTGTTATTAGATAAAGGAGTATATTTGTATTTTGTATCCATTTTGTTATTAGGAATTAAATAAATAAAAATAATAATAAATGCATTTGTCTGTTTGCCCGGTTTCAAGCAGATACTACATAGCAACTAGCAACATAATGACTTTAAATCCAAATTTTCAGCCATTGTAGTTTCCTATGGATGAAGACAACTAGAGACTTAATAAAAAATAAATTAAATTATAGTTATTACTTATTACACTAACATTAGGTACATACTAACATTAGGTATGATCAACAATAACTATGATATAATAGATAATAAGATAATTATTATGACCAGATATTTTATACAAGATAAGTAATAAATAAAGATGTAGTTAGGATTAAAATTACAGATATTAAAATTGAAAAACTTGTTTTTGAATGTGAAAAAAAACTTTCTGAGATATTTTGTCATCTACACTAATATTATAAAGAGGTAGTTTGTAAGTTTGTGAGTTTGTTTGTAGGAAGCAATTTCTGGAACTACTAAACTGATTTAGATAAATTATGGTAAGAAGTTAGTTTGAGACCCCGGGACAGGATAAAGGTTTTAGTTAGAGGGACATAGTTTTTGTTCCGGAAATCAGCCCTTAAGGATGAAAAGGGGGACGAAAGTTTATATGGGGAATCAATCATTTCTCATATCTTCATATATACTAATATATTTTTATAGTCTATATATTCCATACTAACTGTTAAAACTGTACTTAGGAATGTACCCAAGCGAAGCGAGGGTGAGTAGCTAGTTATACAAAGATACACACACATAATTTATTCCACAAGTGACAACACAATGAAATTTAGGTATATATTTTTGCATTGAAATGATTAAAAACCAAACCAAAATCAAACTTATCCGACTAGTTAGTTAATAAACAGGACGTCTAACTATTAATCATCTTAAGTCATCCTAACAAAAAAGGTCTTGACATTTACATGTCAGCAAACATATTAAAACAATTTAATTTAAATTAGCAAATTGGATCATAAAAAAATAAAGAATGGGTAATAATTTTTTAAGTTGAATAAATCCACTATAATAGATTTATCTTAAGGTCATAGCTCTGAAAGGATTATAATAGAAGATTAAGTTTTTTTTTGTAAATGGAAATTTAGGCAAACCAGCCGTCAGGTAAGATAATAATCAATTTATAGAAAAAAAAATAATTATGTATTAATAGTAACAAGCTAAAGTTGGAGTCTTTGTCTGTCTGTATATTAAAAACATGAAAACATGTACTAATAGTGATGTTACTGTACAGTTTCAATTTCAAACAGAATTTAGTTATATTTTCTCATCTCTCTTTACCATTACTCATATATTGTGTTCATGTTTTATAGTATGTTTGTATCAAATAGAAATAGAATATAAATATGGACAAAACCTCAGACAATCTGTAGTCATTAATATTATATTTATATCATATAAAATTTTGTTTGAACAAGTGTGAATCTATGTAGGAAACTTAGAGGACAAGTTGCATCAGAAAAGGCACTTATAAGAATTGTCAAAATTTTCTGCAATTAAAAAAAAAGACCAGTTTATAAACTATGTAAGCAAATAGTTAAAATAAAATGGAAATAAGGATTCTGCATAAATTATGTATATTCAAACACATTTTAATATTAACAATAAAGATATATATATATATCTTTATATTATATATATAGATTCATGTTTAATTGTTAATTTGCTTATTACTTATATAACCTATTAAAAAAAACTTCTATACATCTTCATCATGCATGATTTATATTTTTTTTACAACATTGCCGAGTTTAAAGCAAAATATTTTATATTGTTCATTGTCTTACTTCGAATGCATTACTGGAAGGATCAAATTAGTTATAGAGTGAAGAAAATTATAAAGGTATTAAAAGTTTACCAACTATGCATAGAATTAAAAAAAATGTAGTGAATCCCAAAAATTTTGTCTAACTATAATGTCTATACATTCCATCGTAAAGAAATTTTATGGCAAAGTAAGATGACAAGATAACACTCTATTGGTTTCCATGGATATTATTACAGGCTGTAAATGGCTAAGCACTTAGTAACAGTTACTGGACTAATCAAATAAAAAACAGATTAAGGAAACACATTCACATAATCTAAGATGATTGGAATAAGTTTGATGACATTGACGAAACTGACTATTAATCCAGTTACTGTAAGACAAATATATGGACTTTAGCAACTCACCCTCGCTTCGCTTGGCTTTATCCCTACGTTGATTCCCTATATAAAGTTTCATCCCCATTTTCACCACTTAAGGGATGATTTCCGGAATAAAAAATATCCTATATCCTTCGCAGCATCGCAAACTATCTTATTATCAAATTTCATCTAAATCAGTCCAGTAGTTTGTGAGTTTATTTGTTACAAACATAATATAAAATACACATTTTTTCTCTTTATAATATTATATCATACTCATTCATGTTTTGTTATAATTACAATTTTAAATTGCAACCACAGCAAGTTAGAAAACAACTAGCATCACACAATCGTCAGCAGATGCTTGACAAGCCTAATTACAAAGCTGTAATGTTGTGTTAATTAACATGCATGTTAGTACCACTCTGAAATATTTACCTTTATAAGAAGATCATGTGTGTGTGTGTCCATAAATCTTGAAATATGCCATTAAGTTATGACAACCATCAAATCAAAGGTTATAAATGTCATTATGTGTATAAATAATTTAAAAACTGACATGATATAACATACTCTGATCATATAAACAATTGAGTTACCTTGTTCTTTCCATAGTTTAGAAATATTTTGTAATTTAGATCAAAATTATGTATTATATAATAATACATACAATGAGATGAGACATAATAAAATTTAGTAAATTTTTATTCTTTTTTGAATGTATTTACAATGTGATTATAATATTATCACGATTGTATTGTATTTTCTTTTGTTTACAATTTCTTAAATCTACACCAGAACAACCGACGGTGAGTCAGAATGTAATCGCAGTCAAGCATTTTTATACCTGACAATTGTTTGTAATTAACAAAGTGTTTAGTATTTTTTTTTCAATCTTAGTCTATAGGAATGTTTAATGAAGAGAAAAAGGCTAATTAAGAAATTGGATATTTGCCAATAACTATAATTTAAGTACTCTGTGGTTAAAATGATAGTTAATGTATTTGAACAAATTTGAAACCATTAATATTTTGTTACTTCATACCTACACTTCTAAATCTATTGGCAACCTCACTTGAACACCACAAAATTGATGAAGTAAGAGGCACTCACGAAATTGCTAGGGGTTAAAGGACTAATGAAAATGAGCTAGTATTAGCTGCTATTATTCCAAGCACGGGGATCAGCTGTTCGCACGCGGCTATATTAATCGTCATGAGTACACGACAAAAGTAGGCCAAACATCTCGATTAGAGCGTACGCGGCGGACGGCCGCCGCACCGAACCTTGCGCCGCACGAATTCGCATTACGAATCTAAACGTTTGTTTACACGTCCTTTGTGATCACGCTTGTGAAAAAGTTGTCAATGTGACAATATTATTATTTTATGTTCACTAAACGAAGGACATTTGCCTAAATAACAAAGACATGTCACCTGAACGCTGAAAGTTGATGAACATAAACTGGCATTACCTCGGTGGCCCTTGGCGATTTTTTCGTTTGTTGTTCATATCTCCTTCGCCCGACTGCCCTGGCGGGTAGGCACCTTCTCGTCTGCGCGTAGGGACCGGAATTTTGGCTAATTATCACTTCTTTCTTTTACAACACAGTCCTTTCAACTTTCGCGGATGCACAAAACTGCAGTTGAAATTAGGAGTTAGCACTCGAAATGCGACAACAGAGATGCATCAATTTCACTGAAGTTGTTTGACATTTGCCAACAAATATAAATTAAAATATATTTGAGTACAAATTCGCAGTTCGATTTATTCTCGGGGTTTAATCCCAAAAAATAAACGGGTTGGCAGATTTCTCGTGCCTGCAATCAGCGCAGGAATACAACATGGCGCTGTGACGTATTCATCAAAAGTATTGCAAAAATTTGATTTTATCTTAAATTAATCAGTTTACACGCTATAAAAACATCAAAAATATTAATTGAATATTTAAATGACTTTTCTTATGTTTATCACTTGTTTGCACAAAATGATAATAATTAAGATCAATGATTGACCAACTTCCACTTGCTATATTTCAATATGGCGAGAACCTTAAGTGTTGCTAACATTAAAAAAGAATACAATTAATTCATAGAAATTTAACGATTATCTGTGAAAAGTGATAGAACTTTTTTTCTTATCCAGTCTTTATTTAAAAATACATGATTTAGATTATAATTTACAATGTTACTAAAATGATGTATAATTTTATTTTTACAATGTCTTACATCAAATGCCTAACTTTAATTAGTATATTCATATACCCATTTGCAGATTGTTATACATTATATTTCTGGCCACATAAATTAATTAGTCAGTAAATTTTTGAAATATATACAATATACTAAAGCAATAATAAATGCAATCCACAAATTTATGAAATAAAAATCATAAAAAAAAACAGAATAGTTCTATTCCGAAAAACATTGTCTATGGAATAGGCTTTCACGCGCGCGCGCGCGAATTTTGTATGTGTATTGATAAGCCACGACTATCCAACGTTAATATTGATCGTTTGGCCCCACGTAAATTTATAGGTCACACCAAAAATGAGTGTTAAATCCGCGCCAAAAATGTCTCAGCGTGAGAAATTCGAATTAATTAATTCGGAAGTGCGATCTTTTTACGAGTATTGTAAAGAGGCTGGGATGAGTGATGAAGAGATGGATATTATATGTCGCCCCTTGACGAATGCTGTACGCAAGGCATCTATTAAAAGATGGACAAGAGTATTTTTAATCCTGGTTATGATATTGGCTATCGGTTACACCGTAAGTCAAACCGATACTTTTCAATGGCATGCTACGGCTATTGCTAGAATAACATTGATCAAGCTGCTACCAATATGGGACTGGACGCCTTTGTATTATAATAAGTGTCTAATCGAGAGATCTCAGCCGCAAAATCTTGAAAATGATATCGTATCTCCAACTGATTGTATTACATGTGAAGCTGTCAGTAAGTGTGTAGAGAAAAAATAATTTTCTAAATTTAAATTTGTTTCTCAAGAACAAACAAGTAAATGAAATATTTTATACTAATGTAGTATCAATAATTCTTGTGTACAATGAAGTAAACTTAGAAAAAGTGTATAGTTGAAACGTTTTAGATTTGATGTCAATTTCTTTTCTTTTTTCTTTCAGAATATATAGCTCGTATATCTGATACCAATTATAATGAGGTTTTCAACCATCATCTGCTTCGTGGCGCGCCTGTGATCGTAACAGATGCATACTACGACTGGTCTGTGTCCGAATTGAACCTTACTACCCTTATTAGCAATGATGACAGGCTCCGAGACTCTGTACCATGCAGGATCCTCACAAACATAAGGATTGGTAAACAACCCATGGATTTAGAGGAAATAGTTTCTAGAATAACCAATACTGACATACCGAGTTGGTTCGTGCACTTTCAAAATTGCGATATACGAGCAGTTAAATCGTTCCGAATCTTAGCTCCTAGACCCTACTTTCTGTCCCCCCACATCCCCCCATCCCATTTTAACTGGTTGCTACTGTCCAAAAACTATGACACACATAGATACAAGTATTTAGAACTAGATATAGGTTTAATTATCATGTCTCAACTTAAAGGGAACACGTATATCCAGTTAAAACCTAGAGCGCCCTGTGAAGACGTGTGTTATATGTTGAATGTACAATTGAATGAGGGGGAAACCCTAGTATTGAGCAATTCTCTATGGGAAATGAATTATTTGCCAGGGAAAGGAGAAAATATAGCTATGATAACTGAAACCGATTGGTTCGAATCATAATATCTTACTGGAACGTTTAACGGACTATCCGTATAGATCAATCACGTTTTCAAATTGCACTCTCTTCGTAGATAATTACAATTTACGGCACATAGCTATTTCCAAATTGCGTCGGTCTTGTTATACGAACAAACATACAATTATAATAAATTATTGCTTAAATTAGAAAGTTACATCAACTTTGATACTATCTGAAAAAAAATTGATACTACCTGACAGATATCGTCCTGTCTTCATTTCATTAGTTTTATTTGTAATCTCTTAAGTTCATACAAAAACCCAATAGAAAAAAACACCTTCATTTTTTCCCGAAAATCCTACTTTTTTTTGGAAAACTTTCCTTCTTTTCCCTCTATAAGAATTATTCAGTCTATTATTATATTATTAAATTTCGAAAGGAAAATTTCCAAATCGAACTAGCTGTTCTTAAGTGATGCTATTGATTGTGGCCCACCCTTGACGTAAAACCTTTTTATCAAAAAAGTGTCATAAATATTGGTTTCAATTGGTAAAGATATCGGGAAATAGAGAAATAAATACAGGAATTAATCGAATGGGAGTAGATTTCCCCAAGGCCTGTTTCGGAACTAACATCGTTCGTGTATCAATTACTTTATCATCTGTACACTTTTATCCATCTTAAGAAAGAGGTTTCATAATATTTTTAGACAGCACCCAGTGTAGTCACGTAAGGAAAATAAAAAAAAGATATATACACATGAACATAGAATCTCTTTCTTTTTGGATGTCGGTTAATTGGACAGTATCCACAGACTAAATAAATATGTTAGTTCCGAGCCTTGTCGGTAGAAAATCTTGTAATCGCCAGAATAATCCCTAATAAACCAATTTTATTTCATAACGTACACTGAAAATTAAAAGAAATTCTGCACTCTCTATCTATGGACGAACGGACAGCTCTGAGACCGACGCATATATTATATACCTATAGTTAAACAATGAATATTACCGATGCATAAACAGAATTTATATTTACGTATATAGGTAGAAACAGGCTAAATTTAATATATTATACTGCACTATATAAGTATTATAGGGTAAGCTGTGTGACCTGACTTTGTCCGTATTATACATACATATATAAGCATTTTAAAAGTTTTAAAGTTGATAAACTTATGCATAAATTAAAACACGCTGTATAATTTCCTTTCTATAGTCTATACTGTGCAGGCTTATTTTCACAATTGTACAATGCAAGAAAGCAGGTACGTATAAACAATATGATTTTTGTATTTTTGTACGTCATTATTTTAGCTTTGCGATTTTAAATCATAATATTAAATATGAAACGAATGGATGATCCATTAAATTTTTTATTTATTTATATTAAAGTTATATTTGATTTTTCAAGAAATACATAATCTAACTAAAGTATATGAGACTGATGTATGTTAACATATCAACATCGCATCATCCATACAGTTTCAACAAAGTAAAATAATATATATTATATGCTAAGTATTTAACTTAAATATATTAATCGCTTATGGATTTGGGAACACCATGTATATGTATGTATTATACTAAATATTTAAAATTATTTTACAAGTTCAATGTGATGTTAAATTTCGCTAATATATATTTATTGTACACCTCAAACAATCAAACCCAAAGCGATTTGAACATTTATTATACTATAGAATCTATTGAACATTTATATGTAGTATATGGTCAAATTAAAATTATCCTATGGGATTATTTCCCCATGATTTCCAACCTGCAAGCATTGCATTGTTTATTTGAAAACTGCCGTAATCATTTTTTAAAATTTGACTAGATATTTCTTTAAAAAAAAGAACCCTATGAAATATAGTCCCATAAAGTGGTATTCAAGTTATATAAGCGCACAAACGGACAGACAAAAAAGACGTCGTGTTTATATAAAGATAAAATTAATTCACTTTAATTTATCATAATATAATTTCAATTATGAATAATAATTGAGTTTCTTTAACCGACTTCCAAGAAGGTGGAGTTGATGTGTTTGACCAATATTTTTATACTAAAAATTGTACAAATAGAGATTTTTGTTCAGGTTTTGTATACAGTAAAAGTTTTTATTAACCTTTTAAGGAATTGCCGTGGAATTGATTTTTATGAAAACTATACATGGTGTTGCCAAGTTGGCAAATTTTGTAAATATACAAAATATTATATCATTATAAATTATAATATATGCATTATTGTGAAAGAGTACCTCAATATAAATATAGTAATGTGAATCACTTGCGAGTTTAATTTATATTACCTTGACGACCGAGTTTCGTTCGGCGTTTTTTTACAAAATCATTAGCAAAACCCGCGGCTACGCCCGCGTTCAATCTACAAAAAAAACTCTTTGGGTTTATGTCATACAGCGATTCACCCTCGTTTCGCTCGTGTTCGTCGCTATATGTAATATTGTTTATACAAAACACTAATAATAATTATCTAAAAAGAAAAATAAAATTGAAGTGTCTGTTTGTAATGTCAAAATAACAGCTTTTTACAAAATGCATATAAAATTATATACGGTACTTAAAAGAAAAATACAATTTTTAATTTTTTTTGTCTGTGTTTGTCAGTCTGTTTGTTCCGGCTAATCTCCGGAAACGGCCAACGGCGAACGAACTGATTTTGACGAGACTTTCACTGGCAGACAGCTGATGTTATAAGGAGTAACTTAGGCTACTTTTATTTTAGAAAAATAATTAAGATTCCAAAAAAAAAAACGTACCTACCTAGGGACGCACCCGAGTGAAACGAGGGCAGTCGCTAATAAATATCATAAATCATAGTCTGAAAACGTTAGAATCGTGTGACATAAGACAAATATTACACCACTGTCGTATCAGTTGAAAAAAAATCTACGCGACATTGCCGAAGTAAATTATGCCCAAATGGCACTCCAAAAGAGTTACTGAAGAAAATAATTGAATTGAATTGAAAATAAAACAGCAACATTCAAATAAATACTTTATTGCAAGTCTATTCAGTCTTCTCCTTATGCACGGGCTTCCCGCGCAGCCACAGCGCCAAGTTCTTCAGGGACAGCACGACCGGGAACATGATGGGCAGGAACAGGGGGATGTAGATTGCGTATCTGGAAATGGAAAATGTGTTGTAGTAGATAGTACATATTTGCAAAATTTTTTGACGACTCCTTTGGCTCAGTTTGTAGTGACCCAACTAGTGCCAGCGGCCGCGGGTTCGAGTCCCACTGGGGACATTAATATGTGTGATGAGCACGAATGTTTGTACTCCAGTAATGGGTGTTTATATTTATAATATGTATGTATTTAAAGTTATATATGTGTAGTGTATCAACTATTTAGTGTCCATAACACAAGCCTCGTAGCTTACCATGGAACTAGAAGGTGCAGTATGTTAATGTCACAACAACATTTATTTATTTATCGCTGGAAACATGCTATTTGAGGATTAAGATTTAGAGTCATGCTATTTGCGCAAGCGCACTGAGGTTTTATTTTAAATAAAACAATATTATAGTTTTTATATTAATTTTTTTTTCTTTTTTTTTGAAAAAAAAAATAGGTTTAAAAAATGTAAGGATCACAACAACAGGAACACTAATATTATTATTTTATCTTTTCTACCAAATTATTTATAATTTTCTGGGTATACACTACACAACCGTGAGTAATAATTACGACTTTCGGGAATGTTAAAAACCTTAGTTTCTCCCGTGACCAAATAAAGGCGTGAAGTGAAATACTCAAAACATTGGCAACAAAATTTAATACTTTCTCAGATTTACCCGAATATTTGACATTTTAAATAAAACTATCTTTTAGGGGTTTTTTTGTGAATTTATTGCAAGGGCTGCTTGTGACAACCTTTGAAACATCTAAAACTTTAGTCTCTCCCATGTCCAAGAGAAGAAGAAGAAGTCGGTGACCAAAAATCAAAGTAAATCCGCGAAAATATCCAAATAAATTATTTAAAAATCACTTGAATTAACCAACACAATGTCTGAACTCTGAAGCCGTGAATGAAATATCAAGTATTCTACACATATATCATACTTCTGATCATCCGGGAAGTACAGCAAGGCGAGCAGGCTGGGCTCCATGAAGGCGGTCTCCGCCGCCAGGAAGGCTTCCCGCGCAGTGGCGTGGGCGGTCCGCAGCCGCCCGCCCTGCAGCAGCCGCGTGCCGCGCTCTATGCTGTGCACTGCTTGCGAGATGGACGCGCCCACTTCGTCGTTTATCACTATGTTTGATATTTCACCTGGGGACATCCATTATATGTATATACACTATAGTAAATTTTAAAAATCTCTTTTTCTCAGAAATGGCGAATCTTAGGAAAAACAGTGTAAGGACAATTTTTGTAGACAATTGCATGATCTATAATTATTTTTGTGTGAGCTATTTTTATCATAAAACTAACAGTTTCGCTAAAAAATCCAAAAATCCATTTTCGCGAATTTTGACTTTGTATAAAAAAAAATTCACGCATGGGATCGATGGGGACTTTTCACAATTTCATTATTATGGTATCCCTAACGTTTATATAAATTATCAGCTTCTTGGGAATTTATGCTAGGGTACCCCTATTTTTCGGGCTAACTTGACCGGACTATTTATACATACAAATTATTTAATCTCAGAAACAATAACCTATTTCTTTTCCCAACCTGGCCAAAATTTTTTCCCGAATTCCATTAAAGTTATTTATGATATCTAACAATAAAAAGAATAGCTTATAGCACTCGATGGTTATACAGCTTCCTATTAGCGAAAGAATATTCAAAAACGAATAAGTAGTTTTAGAGATACTATCTTCATCTTTTATATAAACTTTTTAATGTTAGTGCAGATGTGTAATTTTATGTTCATTATATAGCAATATTAATAATAATTTAGTTCTTTAAACGTTCTAAATGCTAGACATGTATACCTTATCGATACGTGATCGGAAACTGACAAAATTACCTTTTTATTTAAAATTAGACCAAAAAACAGATTGCATGCGCAAAATTAACACTATTTCTGACATGAACAATCATCCCAGTTCCTGTTCACATACATACCAAGCAACTTGGCCAGCGACTTCAAGCTCCTCTCAGCCGAGGACACCTGCTCCAGGGTCCTGATGCGGAGCAGCGCGTCCAGCTCCCAGGCGCGCGGCGACACCGAACGCAGCGGTTCCAGGTGGGCGCCATTGATATGCTCCTGCAGACATAACATTTTTAATGCACACACAAAATAGAAAAAAAAGCATACAGTGGCAGGAAAATGCACAAGAGGCGGCCTGAGCAGTGTGAAGTTGAAGGGTGTCAACAAATAACAGAGTTAAGAAAAACAAAAATGATAAATACATATATACATACATATGATATTTATATACGTATATAACACCAGCGTCTCACCCTCGCTTTGCTCGGATTCGCCTCTAGAAAAACACTAATAGAGATCTATTAGTTCCCATGGGAACCGTTCATTTTTCCGGGATGAAAAGTTACCTGTTGTTTGACCGGCAATATAAGGTATCAGAATGTTAAATTTACTAAATTAGTTGCATAAGTTGTTGTGTACTAAGATGTTATTATAGTTATAAGTTATTATAGTTTTTAACTATCCCACGGGAACTATTTATTTTTCCGGGATAAAAAGTATCTAAGATGTTGCCCGGGGATATAAGGTACCACCATGCAAAATTAAATTTAAATCGCTCCAATAGATTCGGAGATTAGCCCGTACAAACAGACAGACAGAGAAACAAAAAATTTGAAAAAAATTTGGATTTGTTCTATTTGTCTTTTTACATCCCCCTGACTCGGTTTTAGCATTTTTTTGCTATGTACAGACATTCGACCTCTATTGTTTTATTATAGTATAGACAATAAAAATTAGGTACACCTAAATAACATACCTTATCAGTAATCCCCAACAGCTTCCTGAGCTGTGATATGAAAATGCCCATTACTAAGTTAACATTAGGCTTGTAAGTCTTCTGCTCACAATCCTCTTTAGTGGGGTTTCCAAACACGACGCCTCCCCATTTAGGCGACATGAAGGCTTGGACGGCGGATTCTATTTTATTAACTGTGAACAAATATTTTATATAATAATTTCTTAGATTTACGCGAATATTTGACAATTTGAACAAAACGATCTCTTCGGATTTTTTCGTGGTTTTATTTTGATTTACATCCTGGTATGAAATCTCACTGAGATTAGTCAACTGCCCTCGTATAATGCAGTGCACTGTCTATTATTTTACTCTCAAACTATACCTACTGGAACAACGCTTTTTTACATATAAAAAATTGTAACTAAGCCGAATCTGTACATCAAATATTTTTTGGAAAATCTTATTGAAATAGATTTTATTATCGATACAGAGGCCGAATCTACAGTTTTTAGAATTTTTGTCTGTCTGTCTGTCTATCTGTTACTGCATCACGGAAAAACCACTGGAGGGATTTAGATGAATTTTGGTATGGTGATAGCTGGTTATCCGGGTCAACATATAGGATACTTTTTACCGCGGGAAAATATCTTATTTCTGAGAAAATATAGAAAAACTGCAATGTAAGAGTATACCAATATATAAAACCTAAGAATTTGGTTTTTGGTCATGTCAACGCGGGCAGAACCGCGGGTAATGCTAGTTAACACCATAAATCAGGCATAGAACCGACGCTATACGTGTTTTGACTCAGCACTGAGACTTTTTAACAGAAATACTCAATAATTAATTATAATCAAAGCCAGGAGCCCCTACTAAACTAGCCAGAAAAATCACCTTACCATCGTGTATAACGAGCGGCGAGACGGCGCAGGGCGCGACGTACAGCGCCAGGTTGATGGTGGCGCGCTCCGACACGTGCGTGGCGGCGCGCGCCTCCAGCCGCGTCAGCAGCAGTGGCAGGCGGTCCGCCTGCACCCACCACGCACCATTCTTCTGTGAGCAGGGGTTACGTCAACCATTACCATATCATTGACTTATTAATAACTAAATAATGATAAACCATCGAAAACCAATGAATGATATACCATCGATAACCAATTAATGATATGCCATCGATAACAAATGAACGATATGGCATCGATAACCAATTAACGATATGCCATCGATAACCAACAACAATATGGCATCAATAACCAAACAATGTATGCGTCGAATTTCATCAAAAGGAAATTTTAGTTACTACAGTCTACAGAGAAGTATCAACAAATGATATTAATATGGTGATGGGTAAAATTGATTTGCTTTTACGGTTTTTCCATCTTTTCTTTTTCATCACGTTTCATCTTTATTTTTAGTTTACAGCAAACATGGACTTTTATACTCAATATCGTGAAACTTTTCAAACACAAAATGGCTTTTACACATTTATAGTTAGGTAATGTAAAAAAAAGTGTCGAGATAAAAAAAAATGTAATAACATTGAAATAACGTACATTAAAATATTAGCTTTTGCATTTCACATTCGGGTTAAGAAGCTACAATTCATATTTATTAGTTTATCGAAAACTCTCTACAAGTTAAACATATAACCTCAATCGTGACTCATGTAACCTCATATAAACTTTTGAACAAAATATTGGTATAGATTTTAAAGAAGTTTCCTTGTAGCGTATTAAAATTAAGAAAAAAAGTTACTTCTTTGGCTTCAAAATTAAAATCTAGAAGATGCAGCCATTGAGACTTGAGGGTGAAGTTGTGAAGCTCGGAGATTTCGTCTACAAAAGATCCTATGTAATCTGTAAAAACAAGATGTTAATAGCTGTTTAGACTAGCTATTAATTTATATGGGAGGGATACACCCCCCTTTTAAAAGCGAGTCAAAAATTAATTTACAATAAAGTATTAAATAATAAACCAGAAAATAAAACGAAAATTGGGGAAGCTTGAATTTTGGGAAATTTTATCTCTTGCGGAATAAACAATGAGTTTTTATACGACAAATCTTACATTTTTGAGAATCTATTCTACATATTTTTAGGAGATTTAATTAGAAAAACGACATGACAAACTCACATACATATTTCCAGTATATAATAATGATGATGATGTTCTCCTAGCCGATTCCGGCTACGGCGGCCAATCTCATTGAGATTAGCCAACTGCGCAGGAGATATTATAGTGCTCAAGTGTACGCGCAGACACAAGTGCACTCTATTCCTATCACTCTCATACTCCGGTGGGACGACCACTCGACACGACCGGTGAGAGTTAAGGCGCAGGACCGACGGCTTTACGTGCTCTCCGAGGCATGGGGGTGAAACACCGCCAACTTCCCAACTCCGGGCTGTTACTGAGACTTACTATACAGAAAGTCTCAATAACTAAACTTGGCCCGACCCGGGACTCGAACCCAGGACCTCCGGGTGTGCAGCCGTACATGCTAGCCACTACACCACCGAGGAGTATAATAATAAGGAAGTATTCTCACCATCCACCGCCTCCCGAGCATCAAAGTCCACCTTCATCAAGTGAGGAGTTGGATGCACAACCGACAGCACCACGTGGAAGGCGGGCTCCGTCGGAAACCTGATCTGTCTCGCAGCATCCGCTATCTCAGACCTGGACCCGGCCAATACTGACGGCTGATATATCCATTCTTTTAGAGCGTGGATTAATGTGGGTACCGCTGGAGAAATAATGTTTACAACATGAAAGAAAATTTTGTACCCACTGAAAACATATTCAGGTGTACTTTATCCATACACATCGATTTCATGGAACACTGCTACTTGAAAAAAGCTAAGGTAGCTAATGCTAGCTTCCATAAAAAATAGCTTTCTATGTAGTAAAGCAAACCATTGATAGATAATTGGGATCGAAAATTTTCAACCCAGACGTCTGAGCGAAAAAAGGGCGGATGATGGGTCTCTAGTAATAGACACATTTATTATTTACTAGCAGCTCACCCTCGCTTCGCTCGTGATCGTCGCTAGGTACGTTTTAAATATATATAAATAGTTATTAGCCAGCGTTAGCCATATACATTTTTTTTGTTAATAATATTGACAAATATTGATATTAATATTTATACGATACTAACGTCACTCAATTGTTTTGCCTTCCGGAACCTCTCCACTAACACTTAAACTTTATGGTATGGTATTAAAGTTCAAATTGACTTTTAAGTATTATTACGAATCTTTTGTATGGGAGTATAGAAAAGTGTTGTTTTTAGACTTTTCAGGCAATCTTTTAATTTTTCTCTCCGTAAGAACCATCCTCGTACTTCAAGGAATATTCTAAAAAAAGAATAAGCGAAATCGTTCAGCTGCTTTCGAGATTTGCGCTTACCAACACATTCAGCGATTCATTTTTATATTATAGATTAGATACAAAAATCCTTACCTTTAGCATCCCTAAAGAAAGCAACCCTTTCACCGCCAACCCAGACATCTTGAAACAATGGCTTCCGTTGAACCACATAGAACGTGTTATGTTTCTTCATATCGAACCCATTACTCACTTCTTCGAGTGCCTCTTGTTCTTCTGCCACTGAGTCGAGGGCATTTTGGAGTTTAGCTGGTATCACTTGACGAGTGATTTTGAGTTTTATTACATCTAGAATAAGATTGAAAATTGTTGTAATGGTAACTTCCTTAATAAATTAATTTGAAGGTTTATGTATAACATATCTTTCCATACTAATATTATAAAGAGTCTAAAACTTGGAAATATTTTCATATTTGGTTTTTACGTGTATTTAATTTTAATTTCAAAATAACTGGAAAGATTTTGATGAGAATCTCTTTGTAAAATAGATCAGCTGTTAGAAAATTTATCTTATATATTTTATAAACAAAATTGCTGGATGCGATTTTAAATATAGATATGTACATCAAAGGGAACTTATATGAACAATAACACAACGCTAAAAGTTTAAAGTTAGGATATTTAAGTTTATACTGTCTGCTGATGAATGGCTAAGCAGATTTTAATGAGAATGTAAAATGTTATATAGGGAATTTATATCCAGGGAACAGGAATAGGCTTTCGCAGGACACAAGTATTATGAGTTTTGGTACAGGGTTCAATCCTGAAGAGTTGCCAAATCGTTTACAACTACATATTTGAAAAAAAATTGTGCTTTTATTTGTACCATATTGTTTAAATTCTTTCTCAATTTGTTCTGCCACGTCCGCTGCAGTCTTCTCATCATTGGCGAGTACCGTCAGCTCAGTTGTTATATAGTGGGATTCTGTGTTGAATGCGTTGATTCTATCGTACGGCAACGCCACTCTGGAATTGTACATATTATGTTAAAGAATTAGTTATCATACGAAAATATAATCAAATTTCAAATTCATTATTTTATTTCAACATGTTTAAACTTAATCTACGTATATCCGACATATTTCTATATTTAAATAGGTAGTTTTCGGAAATATATTCTGTTCACTACTATAATAGATATGAAAGTTTGTATATATGTATGTATGTATGTATGTATGTATGTTTGTTAACCTTTCACGCTGAAACGGCTGTACTGATTTGGGTGAAATTCATTAAACAGATAGACTAAGACCTGGTGTAATTCATGGGCTAATATTAGTAATAAAATTTGCCAAAAGATGGCGTTACGCGTATATAATAATATAGGAGAAGTCGCTAGCATCCTAAAAATGCAAAAAGTATTTTTCAAATAGGCAGATATTTACAGAGTAAAAATTAATCAATGAAAAGTATCCTTAAAGGTAATTCATAGTGGCTGCAGTTGAATCATATCTCAGTCAATAACAGAACAACATGTTATTGCAAAAACAACACAACAATTTCAATTACGTATATTTCGATTGTAGATTTCCGCAATCCTTGTAAGTACATAATCTGGTCGAATGTCCTATAACATACATACATTCATGCATATAGTACTAAGATGGACGACCGAACTTTGCTCGGCGTTTTGTAAAATCGTGTTTTTTCGGAAAAGATATAAAAATTGCCATATTTTTTTTCCGAAAGAACACCTATGTAGGTATATTGTACACTATAGATAATTAGCATTTAAAGGAAAACCTTAACTAAATACAAAATCTGATCCAAATCGTTAGAGTTGTTTCCGAGATACACGAAATAAATTTATATGTATACATACACATATTACAAGAATTGCTCATTTAATATTATAATAAGATTTAGAAAGATAATTTTAATTTTTAATATGACAAATATTGTTTTTGTGCGATTTATTCGCGTACTGAGCTGAAATACTAACTTATATCTCTAATAGTTATATTTGAAAGGAGTAAAACATCGGTCAAGTACGAGTCTTGGACTTATTCCATCATTCATCATCCAGACATTCGTACATTACATACATACATGATAGCTTTCACACTTTAAACAAACAAACCTCTAAACTCTTTATTTTGGGGCTTTTCCTTTATAATTTTTCCATTTAATTTATTTCAATTTTTTTAAATTTGGTTTTTCACCTGAGAAAAAAAGCTGTGAAAGATCCCAAAGTTTTATTTAAAACGCTAGTTACATATTGTTTATTAAAAGAATTATTGTTTCGATATTACAAAGCCTTGACATTATAAGTTTGTAATTGTGCAAATAAAAATTTTGAACTTCACGTTCTACGCATTCCTATAGAAGACAGATCATATTTAGTGGGTACAGTCAGGGCTCGGAACCGGTTTAAAAGAACAACACTTTATTTCGGTAATGTAATGGTTAAATCATCGCTTATTCATTACCCGGTTAATAAAAATAAACGGTTTAATAAACCGAAATAATAATAGTTACCGGTTATTCTTAGGGAAAGGTTAGACATAGGTTTTGATATCGAAATAAACCGGTTAATTCATTCATAAATAAGAAACGTACATGTATCTTTAGCAAGCAATTCACCATTAGCAAAACTCATTTTAACCGGTTTATTTCGTTCATGGAGCTTAAATTCAACAAAAACCATTTCCTGGGTTTTAACAGGTTAAACAACGTAACCGAAACCTTAAACCGAAAAGCTGGAGATAACCGGTTTAAAAATTGAACGAGTTTCCGAGCCCTGGTTATACTAAAACTAGCAGAACCCGCGACATCGCTCCCGCTAAAAATACGAATAAAATCTCTAAAAAAGTAGCTTTCATACAAACTTTCATTCCCTATTTTACTCTCTTAGGGATTGAATTTCGAAAAACTCTGAGATACGTAACTCATTTTTTTTGCCGTACCTACTCAATTCATACGATACTTCACGCAAATATGTCCAAGGAATAAAAATTTTCACACAATTTTTCATCCTTTATTTCACCCCTTTGGGGGTTGAATTTTGAAAAATCCTTCCTTAGTATACGTGTAAGAAATTTCAATTTTATAGCCTTAAAAGTTTAAGCCTGTGCGTTGATACATCAGTCAATCACTTTTGCCTTTTATATAGACATATAGATGGATTAAAAGGAGCAAAATCATATACAGTCGCTAGTATACAATTACTTACGCTTTTATCTATATCTAGTAATACCGACTATCATGAGAACACCTTGTCTTCCTAAAGTATGGCTCATGACCAAGATAACCTGATGACACCAATTTTATTACGTTCAATTATCTCGCGAGGTCAAAAGTCACTGCGTGTTATTCATTTGGTTGCATTACTGACATTGATAGTAATAATGAAGGTAAATTGTATCCAAAAATAATATTTTTATCAAACAATAAAGTAACAGGTATAAACTAGTCTGGTCTATCTGTATAAATAAAGCCTTTCGTGTTTGTTTGTTTGTGCGGTTGGCATACAAAATCTTATATATATATATATATATATATATACTGAATCAAAATTATTTAAAATATAATTAACTAGCATTGCCCGCGGCTCCGCCCGCGTTCAGATGACCGAAAACCAAATTCTTAGATTTTACATATTAGTACACTCTTACATTGCAGTTTTTGTATTTTTTCTCAGAAATGAGACATTTTCCTGCGGTAAAAAGTATCCTATATGTTGATCCGGATAACCAGCTATCACCATACCAAATTTCATCAAAATCCCCCCAGTGGTTTTTCTGTGATGCGGTAACAGACACACAGACAGACAAAAATTCTAAAAACTATAGATTCGGGATCTGTATCGATAATAATGTCTATGTCAATAAGATTATACAAAAAATATTTAATGTATAGATTCGGCATAGTTGAAATTTTATTATATGTATAGATTATTTATGTAATATTAATTATCTATACACTATTCACATTTTTAACCGTTCCACAGCTGGGCACAAGTTGGTAGACCCCTCACGTCTTTTGAAAACTTCTTAGGTTCTCTAGCAAGTTTCTTCACGATGTTTCCTTTACCTTACTGAAGCTCATATAATAAGGTTTTGTGCCCAACTGGCACTCCTGGAAGCCACTAAAGAGAGGAATTGAATTGAATTCCTCAACGGAAATAGCAGAATTGTCTCGAAGAAATTTCTAGATAATAAATAATATAGGTAGATGACGACGCGGGCGAAAGCTACTAGTTGTTAAACTTCACTTTATTTGTTTTATTAAATATAGGGAAAATGTATTGATGAATGAATAACTTATTTATGTTTTTTTTTTTAAATTGGTCATCAGATTAAATTTTCCTTAGTTATTTTATTTTTAATAAGTAGCGTTATAGAACGCCAACCTGCATGTTTGAGAGAACTTAGCAAGTTTTCAAAAGACATGGCCAGTGTGGTGGGCTATGGCCCGCCCCCCTAGTATTAAAGGGAAGCCGGTGCCCAGCAAAGGGACGTTAAGAAAGGGCAGAATACAATATATTACCTGTAAACTTCTGTAGTTTTCCACCACAGCGGTAGACCTATGATGATGAGGACACCGACAAAAGAGGCACTCGCCCACATACGATTTGTCTCTGAAATAAGATGAAAACAATTTTGTTATTACTTACACATAGGCTAATATTAGGTACCTATACCATCGATCAAAAAAGTACTAGATACACAATCCCATGTAAAAGCTCTCTTAAAACTGTCACTAATTGTGTTTAGGTAATTATTCTAGTTGAAATAAGTATACAATGTAAATTGAACTTTAAACGCAATGCTTACAGTTGTTTTATCCAAAACAAATCAAATTAAAAGCGCGCTCAAATGTTCAAATAAGCGCTCATCGGTGAGGACATTTTTTTGCGCTGACTGTGTATCTAACACTTTTTTGATCGATGGTACCTAGTGATGCACCCGAGCTGATAAGTCATTTTTATATTTATATTATATACAATTCCACTCCCTGAAAGATTAACATGCAACTGTGACCATTATAAGAATAGCCGATGCTCCAACTGTAAAATACTTTCTTAGTTTAAGGCGAATATTTAATATTTGAAATAAAATTATCTGTTTGTTTTTGGTTCCCGAAGTTTCGAATGCTTTACAGCATATACATTCAAGGGAGAGAGTCCCTGCGGATAATCGAAACAAAGCTCTAACTATAGTCACGGTCGCGGTCTCTTAGTTCGTGTTCACTGAACGTTCTTACAAAGAAAGCTATCTATACCTAGTTGATCGATAAACAATTTCTTATCGACATACTAACGTAACGTAAAAAGTAACAAAGATCTAAATAGTTGAGTCATAGTTTCGTGTTTTTAAATAAATCAATATAAACATACTCTAGTTTAAGCCAAAAACAGGAAAATAATATAACTTTATTAACTCGAGCATTATTAAATTTAACACAATCCAACAAATGCGTGGACGACGAATATGCTTAATTGAGATACACGTGTAATGATTCACATGGAAATGATAAAGTTTTTTTGATCTAGGTTATATACCGCAATAAAAATTGCTGTTATCAGTGATCGATATTTGGCAAAGTTGATTGATTGATCTTCATTGTCCAAGAGACAAAGTTACGAGTGTAAATAATAAATATCGTCGTCGTCGTCTCAGCCCAAGCACGTCCACTGCTGGACATAGGTCTCCCCCAAAGATTTCCATGACAACCGGTCTTGCGCCATTCGCATCCAGTGGACTCCAGCGACTTTGACTTCGTCGGTCTACCATGTGGGAGGCCTGCCCACGCTTCGCCTTCCAGTACGTGGCCGCCCCTCCAGAACTTTGCGTCCCCAACCACCGTCCGTTCTACGAGCGATGTGCCCCGCTATCATTATATATATCATTAACTGCCTCCGTGGTGTAGTGGCTAGCATGTACGGCTGCACACTCGGAGGTCCTGGGTTCGAGTCCCGGGTCGGGCCAAGTTTAGTTATTGAGTCTTTCTGTATAAGTAAGCTTCAGTAACAGCCCGGAGTTGGGAAGTTGGCGGTGTTTCACCGCCGTGCCTCGGAGAGCACGTAAAGCCGTCGGTCCTGCGCCTTAACTCTCACTGGTCGTGTCGAGCAGTCGTCCTACCGGAATATGAGAGTGACAGGAATAGAGAGTGCACTTGTGTCTGCGCGTACACTTGTGCACTATAATATCTCCTGCGCAGTTGGCTAGTCTCAATGAGATTGGCCGCCGTGGCCGGAATCGGTCGGGAGAACATCACATCATATATATCATAATAAATACCTATCGGTCAAAAATATTTTAAAGTTTTTAGATAAAAATTTCAATGTAGTAGATATTTGATGACAGAAAAAATAGAAAAATTAAAAAAAAGTCACCATTACTAGCGGTCGACATATAGTAGATGAAGGAAGCTCGACTTGTCTTGCTAAACACTTTTATTTGACGAGTCGTTTATTTGATGAAACCTTTATTTGGCATATATTCTACTTATGTATATTATTATTATAAACTTATATGAAACTTGTATATAACCGAAAATTTTGTCATATTTTTGCAAGCGGGCAAAATGGACAATTTTAGGAGTGTCGACGTTTAGGTCTATCGTCTACACTACTTACACGCTAAAAATTGTCCCGGTATTTGACCAATAGGACTTTTAATCGGCCAGTTCTCTGATTATCACATATATCATGAAATGACATTTATGATTTTTTAATAATACTATCATTATACAAATAATTGTATAATTCGTGAGTAGATACTGTCTATAACAGCTATAATATTTTTTGAGACGTCTACAACCTTACTCTTCCCCGTGACCATGATTGCTGTAAAGCATTCAATGTAGAGAGCTTAAAATCAAAATAAATCCGCGAAAAAATCCAATATAAAATATCTAGAAGTAGACGATTCCCATTTGCATGATAATTTAGTCCCAATACGCAAATATTTGAAAAAATGCAGGTACCTATACTTTTTTGTAATTCGTTTGGATAATTCACACCAAAAATACCTGCTTATAGTTCAAAGAACTTATTGCAGATACCACACTCAAAAAAAATATGCAAAATAATCCGAAAAGACAGTTTTATTTAAAATACATAATTTAAGTTAGGCATAAACCATGTAACTACTTTGTTTTAGAAGCCGGTTATGATAAGAAGTCGTGAATATTTTTCTACTGAGTAGACGAAAACCACCCCATGGGATATCCTTCAGTCATAATTACCACGAGTATTAGAAACAAGGCGAGTCGTCACAGGTAGATATTACAGAGTCCGTGTTTAATAAACATACTCGTAAGTCATTGTCAATTCGTTTAAAACGGTATGTAAGCAAATATCGAAAGTAGGGTTGCCATCTTTTTTTTGATAAAAATAACCTATGAAATTATTTGAATAGAAAAAAAAATATTTGTGAGATAAATTGTACTTTTCAGTTTTTATTTTTCTTGAAAAAAATAGTTTTGGGTGCTTTTAGCACATGCTAATAATTTTTAGTTATCTTTGAAAGTTTCGAAGCTAGTTTTGCAATTGAAACTTAGATTTAAATAAACAAAAAACTCGTTTTTTATTACATTTATCGATGATCTGTTTCTCTTCGTAAAGTATTTTCGCATACTTTATTTTTATAGAAAAGTATGAAGTTTATTTATTAAAAATAAAATAGTATACCTACTTTATTATATAGCTGGCAACCCTAAACACAGGTCATATTTCGTTTGGAATTACGCTAATCTTTTTCATGTTTTTGCGTCGCTAAGAAAGTCAATTTTCTCATACGTTTATTTTTTGCACTGCTTTGTTATCTGTACTTATATTTTTTAATATGCATTACATTAGGTTTTTTTATAATTTTTCATTGATCAAGGGTATTGGGTATATCCTCCAGTAAATTAATTAGACTCCCCCGAAAACACCCTCAGTAAATAAATTAATAATTATATAATGGACTAGCGACTCATCCTCGCTCCGCTCGGGTTCGTCCCTACTTAGGTTTTAACGTTTAGTAGGTATAGATTTTTCAGAGATAAAATATTTTCCAGCAGTAAAAAGTATACTATATGTTGACCCGGATAACCAGCTACCATCATACCATATTTCATCAAAATTTCTCCAGTGGTTTTTCCGTGATGCGGTCACAGACAGACAGACAAAAATTCTAAAAATTACAGATTCGGCCTCTGTGTCGATAATAATGTATATTTCAATAAGTTACATTTTTATTATATGTATAGATAAAATATGTATAGATTTATCATTTAAATCTACTGCTAACTATAATATAATTATATATACCTTAATGATATATAATTATATTTCTATCTAGACACATGACGCGTAGTTAAAACCAGTAGGTAGTTCAAAACCAGTAGTATAAATCTTTAGACACACTAGGATACCTAGCTTGACCATGATTAGCACTAAGCAAAGGTAAACCACAAGACTAACTAAATTAATTAAAATAATAAGATACATTGATATTTTTCAATCTTTTTAACAAAAAATTTAACCTTTCCACTCTGAGCGATGCGAGGGCAGATGGTTACATCTAAATATCTTCTTAGATCATATAAATTGGGATACACGAGTAGTAAATGGCAAGACGTGGCTGATTGGATGTTGTCACAAGTAATCAATCGTGTCAGTATCCCAGATAGTGTTAGATAACAGCAGGGTCAGGTGTTAATTCATCGAAGCGAGACGTAATTGAGACCAATTTACACTTACGTAGCTCGTGCGTTAAAATATGATATGAAATGACTGTCATTTATACATATAATAAAATTGTAACTAAGCTGAATCTGTTCATTAAATATTTTTTGGAAAATCTTATTAAAATAGACTTTAACATCGATACAGAAGCCGAATCTATAGTTTTTAGACTTTTTGTCTGTCTGTCTGTCTGTTACCGCATCACAGAAAAACCAGTGGAGGGATTTTGATGAAATTTTGTATGGTGATAGTTGGATATTCGGGTCAACATATAGGATACTTTTTACCACGGGAAAATGTCTCATTTCTGTGAAAAAAATACAAAAACTGCAATGTAAGAGTATACTAATATGTAAAACCTAAGAACTTGAAACTTTTTGGTCATGTGAACGCGGGCGGAGCCGCGGGCAATGCGAGTGTAATAATATATTAGATAGAGGATACGGATATGTTTGGGACAAAGCGGCCATAACATCGCTACTGTGCATAAAACGTCCTGATATCACACGCGGGTAAAATATGATCTCTTGCAAAAAGCGTACACGGATTTTTTGTACAAAGTATTTAACAAAGCTAATATATACTATTTATGTAGGTACGTATTATTTATTAAAGTAAAACATTTCTTACTTCCAACCTTTGCCAAAATGATATATTTAAAAAAAAACTATTTTTATCCGCACTTTTGGCGTGCTTTTGTAGATTCGTAATTAGAAGATTTTTTTAAACTAATACGACTTCGTCATTTACATTTTCATGAGATTAAAAAAATATCATCAAATTAACTTACAGGAAAATTTCTAATATATTCAATCAATCAATTCAAGATGTATGTATGTATTTGTCCACCAACCCGCACTTGGCCAGTATAGTGGACTGTGGCCCGATCCCCCTCGCATTGAACTCCCAGCAGTGGGACGATAAAAAGGACTGAATACAATGTATGTAATCAGCCCTTATTCACGTCCCATTGCTTTCAACGGCCACGATGTTTTCCTTCACGGTAAGACAAGTGGTAATCATGTTGGAAATGATTCGCACATGAAAATATCGGAGGTGCGAAACCCGAAATTTGATGCTGCTTCATTCGGTTTCACAAGCGCGCTCGATTCCCCTGGGCTACCACTGCCTCTTATATAATAACTAGCATTGCCCGCGGCTCCGCCCGCGTTCAAATGACCAAAAACCAAATTCTTAGGTTTTACATATTAGTATTATGTTACAATGCAGTTTTTGTATTTTTTTCTCAGAAATGAGATATTTTCCCGCGGTAAAAAATATCCTATATATTGACCCGGATACCCAGCTATCATCATTCCAAATTTCATAAAAATCTATCCAGTGGTTTTCTCGTGATGAGGTAAACGACAGACAGACAGACGGACGGCCGGACGGACGGACGGACGGACAGACAGACAGAAAGACAAACAGACATTTCAATTAGATTTTCCAAAAAATATTTAATGTACAGATTCGTCGTAGTTACAATTTTATTATAATATGTATAGATAACAATAAATTATTATCGATACGATAAATTATAATTAAAATCAATTATTCATGTTACATTGCAGAACTATCGCTTTAAACAGCTGAGTTCACTTTAGACCTTAGCCTTCTAGCTAGGATATCTAGATCACGTTTATGACCTACATTTTATGCGTTATTATCTTCTAACCTTATTAGTAGATTGTAGGGTCTGGTCTAACGGTCGTATTTAACTAGGAAAATAATATATTTTATTTATTGGTAATCTTACAGCGTTACAAAATTATTGAAATACAGTTTGAGCACAAAGTTATTAACAAATACGGCCAAAATTAGATTACTCTATTATGATATCTTGTGCAGGTAATGGACAACAGAGTACTCATATATTGAAAAAGGAAAAAGAAAAAGTATGAATAAATTAAATTGATCATGCTTATGATATGCACATCAAACATTATGTGTTTACATGTATGTGCGGGTGTGTATGTCTGTATGTGTGTGTATGTGCGTATGTGTGAGTATATGTGTGTTACGTGTAATGGTATATATTGTATCATTATCGTACGATATTGAAAATCTCTACATTACTATATAATTTAAAATTAGTTTTCATTTATGTTTGTCTGTTCGTACACTCAGTTTTTAAAAACGATATAACTTTAACGTTTTACTATTCTTTCTTTACACTTTATTAATTGACAGCTTCGTACTTTACAGTTTACTAAATTACAGCTGAAAATACCTTAGTCTTCTCCATTATTTTATATCTTCTTCATGTGACATTGGCGAAGTAATGTGCGCTCAACTGTCACATATTGAAATTATTAAAAAAAATATCTTTTCAACCGACTTCAAAAAGGAGGAGGTTCTCAATTCGACTGTATTTTTTTTATGTTTGTTACCTCAGAACTCCATCATTTATTAACAGATTTGTACAATTTTTGTGTTGTTTGAAAGTGTATACTTCCAGATTGGTCCCATTTAAATTTAAAAAAAATACCACCCTTAAGGGTGGAAAAATAGCTAATGATGAATTTAACCTACTTCTAATTGTCATTTTGACTTGAAACTTTACAAGTGTTTCTATTTCCGTTGATAGTACAGTGGTTCGGTATTGTTGACCTGATCTGATGGTAAGGCCAGAAGGTGGATAGGTGGAAGTCTTCAACGGCTAAAAGTAGATACTTTGAGTTTGGGCTTATTTTGTTTGATTTGACAAGCCTAACACGTTAGAATTTTTACTTTGCTACTACTGTCTACACTAAAAAGGGAAAAATAAAAACTTTTTAACAAAAAAATAAAAACCGACTTCAAACAAAAGCACTAAAAAGTAAAAAACAACTGATTGGTAGTTTTCATTTACTATACATACCTAATCAAATATTTTCGAAATCGGTGCCAGCCCATACAAAGCAAAGCACACCGACTTCGAAAATATTTGATTTTAATTCAATTTAATGAGCTTTTTTAATTTAGGATTCTTCCACACTATAGTGCCGATCACGATTCGCTCCTGATCCAAAATCGATCTGATAAAGTATTTTCATACAAGACAACAGCGAGTGCATTCACACTATCAGTAAGAGTTAAGATTCGGTTGAATCACACTCCAGCAAAGTTTCTTGTATAAAAATTTAAAATAAACTTGTTCTATATCGGACGAGAATGGATTGTGATCGGCACTAGTGTGTATCTGCCTTTATAGTTATGAAAATAATAATCACCAGCGATATCTAGTCTTTACTAGATTTTCTCACAAGTGTGAAAAATATAATCTTGACATAAATGTAATAATAATGTTACCTAATATAATTTCGAATCGACTTTTGGCTATATACCATAACTACTTCGTCATACATCATTTTAAGAGTTCGGTACCCAAAGGGTAAAACGGGACCCTATTACTAAGACTCCGCTGTCCGTCCGTCGGTCATCAAGTTGTATCTCATGAACCGTGCCAGTTAGACAGTTAAAATTTTCACAAATGATGTATTTCTATTGCCGCTATAAAAACAAATATTAAAAATTTAATAAAATAAATATTTAAGGGGGCTCCTATACAACAAACATGATTTTTTTGCTCATTTTGCTCGATATTGAAAATGGCAACAGGTAGACGCTTGAAATATTCACAGAAAATTTAGTTATATATTCACTTTAAAAATAAATAATTAAATTAAATCAAATATTGAAGGGGGGCTCCCATACAACAGACGTGATATTTTTGCCGTTTTTATAGATAATGGTACGGAACCCTTCGTGCGCGAGTCCGACTCACACTTGGCCGGTTTTATGTAGCAATGTATTTGCCTTTTCACTTTTCGTGTTTAGCGTCGAGACGTTAAGGACATGCTTCATACAAGAGAAACTAACTAACAAGTATAACGTGACATTATAATCAAAAAAATTTTAACCTTTAGAAGAAAAAACATTTTAAAAACCGTGACTTTTTACATATTAAGTTAACTAAATATATACAAAGGATATACTTGGAGGAAAATCTAACCAGTTTTCTCGTTAGTCTTTATTAGACTTTAGGGACTATAACATACAGGTACGTAAATGCATGCTATTTATTGTACATCAATTATTTTCAGCATAAAAAAAATCTGTAATATGCGTTTTCTTTTTTTGATACCCTTTTAACTTATCATGAGATCCCTATCGGCCGTCAAAGGCCAGAGGGCTGTGAGACTTATGCCCGATTTCACCAACATTCCATAAGCTACCACCTACGTATGGGATCCCTAGCTTAAAGGTTCCCCTAAACTAGCCCCTAAATTAAATTTCGTTTTACCATCGTCAGAGCTAGTATTTCTAGTATCTATATTTAGGTGGCATTTTAACATTAAGGTGACCCCTAACTGTCGGTGAAACAGAAACTGCCCCCTAACAGCCCCCTAGGGAGCGTTCAAGTATTACGTAACGCAATTTGGGGGGGCGGGGGGGTCTCGTAAAACGTTACGATGCGTTACACGGGCGGGAGGGGGTCCTTCTTACAACACGTTACGTAACATTATTTCTTTTTTTATATAAAAAAATAGGGAAATAAAACTCCCAAATTGGCAACCCTTTTCGTTTACGTTTTACGGGGAATCTCTCGATTGTATTAGTCTGGTCGCCATTTTTAATTTGTTCTCGCATGTTGGTAAACCTTTTCGTTTATATTTCACGGGGAATCCCTAGATTGTATTGTACGTCATTTAATGTTGTTTTTGTTGTCAGTATTCGTTAGTGTTTATGCAGAAGCAAATTGCTGTAGTCGCTGTTATTAAAGTGAGTTCATAGTGTTCATACTGTAATGTCCTCAAAAGAAGGAGATTTGTATCATCAGCTGTTCTTGGCCTATAAAGGCTCTCATGCTGACTTGCCAGCGCAAGTATGTCAAAAAAATGCCAATGAAATTTGGAAAACGGCTAAAGAAAAACTAAAAAACAAAGAAAAGTTTATAGAACATATAAATGATGTTATACGAGAGTTGAAGGTGAAGGCCACGAAGAAGAAAGCAACAATGCTGCAATTCCAGAACCGTCTTCGTCTGCACTCCAGGTGCCAGTGATGAAAGAATCTGAGTGGCTAGCAAACCCGTGGACAGAGGAGCAGTAATTTCAATCGAATTGTTTTTATAGACCTACTTAGATACTTGGTTAATAGTTGATTATTTTTTAATTTTGTTAAGAATACGATTTTATTTCGAGTAAAATGTTTAATTTCAGTTGGGTTTCTGTTTATAATTGCATTGCCAAAGGTTAAAATAAATATGTTATTTTATTTGAAGAATTTATTAGTAAAAAAGCTAAAATACTTAGGAGAATGAAGGAGAAAAACAATTGTGTTTTGTAAAGCCAAAAATTTATAAAAAAATAAACAAAATACGCAGGTGTTGCGAATTAAAAATCTCTTGTTTTATTATAAGGCAATTAAAACTATACGAAGGATAAAAACTATAACAACTTTTTGCGACTTCAGGGTAAAAATGATGACTTGAGTGTTACGTAACCTTTAGAGAGGGGGGTGGGGGGGTACAGAAAAACGTTACGGAGCGTTACAGTGGGGGGAGGGGGGGTCAAAAATCTTCAAAAATTGCGTTACGTAATACTTGAACGCTCCCCTAACCATGCTTAGGGGATCCCTTAAACTTAGGTGACCTTGGTGAAATCGGCCATTAATAAAATTCACAGCGTAACCTCATAGCTTGCGCACGCACTACAATATCTACCCCTGCAGATAAACCCAAACTAAAGGGTCCACCACGCATTAATTATGATACGACGCTTTGAGTTCATTGTGCATTCTAACCGTCACAATGTCACGTAGGAGGGTAAAAAGAGCCCCATCCGCAGTAATTTGGAGGGTGGAGGGAGAAGATGCGCATACTAATGCCTCCTTTCCCTCAGAAGACGGCGATTTATCCCTTGCATATTCCAAGGGTAGTTATTACTTTTGAAACGAACTTATTTTTAGAGTTCAGAATGAAAGCTTCAAGAAATAATTTACGTGATCGCTCAAAAACAAAGCTATTGCAAACGAGTTGAGCATCAATGCCAACTAGTTTGTCTTCCGCAATTTGATTTATAATATAAAATCTATTTTTTTATTTTTGAGTTGCGTAGACAGCACAAAAATAATATCGATCAAACAAAATTACTACATTATACGTAATTGCGTATTAGACAAATCTCGTGACACAGTACACCGTCATTTTTTTAAATCTATACATATAATAAAATTGTAACTAAGTTGAATCTGTACATTAAATATTTTTTGGAAAATCTAATTGAAATAGACATTATTATCGATACAGAGTCCGAATCTATAGTTTTTAGATTTTTTGTCTGTCTGTCTGTTACCGCATCACGAGAAAACCACTGGACAGATTTTGATGAAATTTGGTATGATGATAGCTGGTTATCCGGATCAACATATAGGATACTTTTTACCGCGGGAAAATACCTCATTTCTGAGAAAAAATACAAAAACTGCAATGTAAGAGTAAACTAATATGTAAAACCTAAGAATTTGGTTTTTGGTCATCTGAACGCGGGCGGAGCCGCGGGCAATGCTAGTCTAGTTATAAACAGTTCAGTGAACTGACTTCTTCCACCTCTGTTTGTCAATTGATTTTTTTTTGTTTAGTACAAAGTTATGGTAACACCTCGTCCATCTGTTGTAGATTAAGATTTACATAGAATAAGGAAAATTAAGGGTCATGGCGCGATGCTTGGTAATCCCTCAAAATTTGAAGGGGGTATATTTAATATACCTCAATATATGGACGACGAAAAACACAGATTATGTCAACACAGACTGGTTATTCCAGAAATAAATGCGTTAAAACAAACAAAAATATCAATCAGTTTTGTACGTTTAATTATACAGATAAATAAAATGGAAGTGTCTGTTTGTAATGTCAAAATAACAGCTTTTTACTAAATGCTAATGAAATTATATACAGTACATAGAAGAAAAACACAATTTATAAATTTTTTGCCTGTCTGTCTGTTTGTTCCGGATAATCTCCAAAACGGCTGGACTTTCCCTTTTTATGGGAATTTCACTGGCAGATAGCTGCTGTTCTAAGGAGTAGCTTAGGTTACTTTTATTTTAGAAAAGAATTAGGTTTCTGCTGAAAAAAAACGTACCTAGGGACGCACCCAAGCGAAGCGAGGTTAAATTGCTAGTATAAAATAGTTATAGATAACTTATAATTGATCTAAAAATAAAGCAAAAACATTAAAGATAAGGTAAAAAGATTATTTTGCATATTTTTAATTGAGGTTTTTGTCAGTCAGACAAAAGGGCATTTATTAATAAATAACTTTAATAACTTATAATTCACTTATTTACGAATCGATATGTAGCAAACTTACAGAACATTCGTAGGTACGCCGTCCTTTTCTTGGTACACACATACATATGTATATATGTATGTATATATGTATGTATAATGTATACGGCTACTATCGTTCGAAAGAATATTTATTCGACATCAACCTATTTCTGGCGCCAATTGAAATAAATGTGTTTCAAGTTTCAACACGAAAAATACTATACCTTACTCCTCATGGATCATTATTAAAAAAAAAATTAGTCTATATCGCTCTCTGGCCAACAAACTATCTTTATAACAAAAAGGTTTTCCTAGCATGTTTTCTTTCATCGTAAGATTTTAAATTTTTTTGCTTAGATATTATTTATGAAATTTACCATTATCATAAATCTCACATTATTTATGTCAGTTAAGTACATAATTTTTTATATTAAAAATTCAAATTTATATTATAAAACAAATTTTTTATCGTTAAAAAAAGAAAACAAAAGTATATTTGACAGTCTGTATCGTATGAGCGTATCGTATTATAGTATCAATGGGATTTCATACAATATTTAGGTACTGGTACTTAGAAAGTTTTCAAATATATATTTAGTAGGAGGTTAAAAGCGACATCCAAAAATGTGACTACAGAGTTAGTTAATTACAAGTGAATCTTATAAAAATATTGAATAATGAAAGTTTTAAATTAGAACGCCGCACCGCGCCGCTCCGATAGCACAGCGACGACTTCCATTTCCATATAAGCCGAATGACTAAACAAAATCGTCAAATTATCCACTTACCTAACATAGAAGTAACAAAAAAAATTAACACCAAAATAGAATGATAAATAAGATTTATAATATAAAAATATTGTTCTTTAGTTGTTTGCGTGTAAATCTATAATCATGTTCCATCAATTACAGAAATTTTAGCACAAAAAGCTTTGTAAAATTAATTAGACCTCATTTTTAATAAATATATTTGAAATAGATATATATATATATATATATATATATATATATATATATATATATATATATAATGATATATATATATATGATATATATATATTTGATAAATAGTCCACCAAAAAAAAAATATATAAATATCGAGTATCATACCCATAAAAAATTACAAACAAATTGAATAAAACCTTAAAAGTTCATTTTAAAAAAACCGGTTTGATTTTATGAAAAATTCTAAACTAGGTATATATGGATCCCCATTTTGTGACCCCATGAAACTCCAGGTGCATTAGAAATCATGACGTCACAAACCCTGCACTGCCATTGGTCGAAGCGTATGGTGCTTTGATGGCGTGTATGTAGGGGACTGGTTACATGGGCTTGATGTCGAATTTGTATTACTTTACTTTTACCAAAAGAGTATACTGACTGCAAAATCATTTAAAAGTAATTATTTCACCTTTTGAAGGGAGAAATATTTAAGATAAGTATATAGGATAACCCTTGAGGTATATTCTGGTACTAATTAAAAAAAAAATTACGAATATCGCTTGAATTGTAAACCGATTTTACACTACGCAATATGCACACAATATATATAAATTAAATATACCTGTAATAATATAATGTATATGTAATAATATACCTGTAATATAATAATTATTTAATATACTTGTGTCGGTCAAAAACCTAGTGTAGATGTTACATATTAGGCATTTTCATCAAATAATGAGCGTCTGATTTTGATTAATTTATTTACAGTACATGACCTACCAAGCTTCGTTCGGAGTTTTTGGCCTACAGTACAATTTTCTTTTTTTTTAAACTAAAAACTAATATTTTATTCATATAATAGTGATTATATAACATATTTAATATACATTATTTGAACTTTCATCAAGGGCTACCGGAGCACATGACGGCCTACTACGGTCGTTGAAGTTGATTTAATTTTATTCTGTAGATTCATTGTTTTTAATCGGTGTATTTGTATCCTTACTGTAAGTACACACACAATAAAACAAGTAAGTACTTAACTATGAGGTTTACAATTTATATACATTTCCACATAAAATACCGTACACATTACAATGTAATAGACTAGCGACTTACGTAGTACCACTTAGTAAATTTTAATTCTTGGTAAATTTTAATTTTTTGAGCGGAGCCCTAGTTATTTTTCTAAAATAAAAGTAGTCTAAGTTACTCTTTACAACATCAGCTATCTGCGAGTGAAAGCCTCGTCAAAATCAGTCCAGCCGTTTCGGAGATTACTCGGAACCAACAAAGAGACAAAAAAATATGTTTTTTTCTTGTAAGTAACGTATATAATTTCATATGCATTTAGTAAAAAGCTGTTATTTTGACATTACAAACAGACACTTCAATTATTTATCTGTATAGAATAAAATATTTAAAAAATATATCGTCACAATTACATACATATATTTTTTATTACTAAATACTATTTAATAATTATACTTTTCTACAAAAGCTCGTTTTGGCGTTATAATATAGCTAATACCATGCCTTGACTGTTATGTCTAGTGTCTAGTCAATGAACAATTTCTTTAACGGTATTATGCAACCACAAACCCATTAACCTATATTAATCTTTCCATAGAAGGTGCTCGGTTTTACTATAAAATATCTTACGACTACTTCTACTTTGTAGTCAAACATAAGTATCTTACAAAACAATCAGTCGCCATTACACTAATCTTACATCATTACAAGTATCCCTCAAAGCACTTCTGAGACACTTCATCAATTACGATTTGTTATGTAATATGTAATTGCTACCTAATTAGCATTGTAGGAAAAACTAAAATCAATTTGCAATAATTAGGCGTGTACAAAAAGACGCTACTCACTCTTTCTAACATAACCTTTCGCAGCTATAAATAAAACGATGAAATAGAAGATCTCAATTCTGAGCATAGATTATGCATATTTATATTATATATACGTACAAACTACAAACCTCCTTGCATCACGCGGATCTATCGAACAGGTTCACGCACTAAAAAAAATTAAAAACAAAAACGTCAAATACAACGCGTCCCTAGTGGCAGCGCGGGAATACTAAAAAATAAACGCTGCTGCTCATTTCAGTACGCAACTACGCCGCGCGTCGGTCGTACGTGCGGTCGACAGCGAACGAAAGTATTGTGCAATTTATATATATTTATATAAATTATTAAGTTTCTATATTATAGTGAAGTGTGCTATCCTAGAAGGAGCAAAACGATTTATTCTACTGGTTAGTAATCTTTATGTTTACACGTGGTGTTTTGTTTGTTATTCAATCTTTTAACGTGTTACGTTTGAGAAAAAAGAAATAAATTTTAAATATAATAGATTTTATGTAATTTTTTTCATATACCATGAACATTGTTAAAATCTATACTCGTTTTTATGGCACTGTTAGTGTTTTATATAAAATTATTTATCTTTGCTATGCCAAAGTATGTTACATAGTTAATAAGTGAAATTAAAGAAATACAAATTAAAATTTACATTTTTAATTATGTGATAAGGGTGAAAATTAATGGCAGTCAAAGATAACCACACTACAATCTACAACACGATTTGTAATAAAATATTTTTTTTTACATTTAGTTTTGTATGATCTCGCACATTTTTTGCATTGACATATTTATTTATTCCCTGTACTTACGATTGTTATAACAGCGAATAACTATCTGTTTATTATCATTTCACGGTCAAACCGCTGAATCGATTTAGATAAAATTTGTCACAAAAATACTTACTAACAGGTTGATTCTTTAAATTGACATAACTATTTTTATTTATATACCGATTAAAATAAAACACATACTAAATGTTAAGTGAAGCTTACCACAATTCATTAGTGAAAACCGCACCCAATTCGGTTAAGCCGTTTCTGAGATTCGCGTGCACAAACGCACAGTCAAACAGACGAAAAGTCTAAAAATCATTATTTTGGGTTCTATTGCGTTAAAGACCCCCCAATAATAGTTTTCGTCAAATATCTTCCATGTACAGAAAGCAATCGGTTACACTTTTATTATAATATGTATATATAAAGATTATAATATGTATAGATAGACATGAATAAGTCCCCGGGAAGGCGAAAGGGATTCGCGAGATAGAGATTGAAAATTTTAGTCAAAAACCTAATAATAATATGCGTCTTTTTAATAATAGTATTTTGAGACTTAGTATTTTGTACTTTATTACGATATATTTAAAAAAAAATACAAACATGATCTTTTCTTTTACTCAAGACGAAAAACACTTTTCAACCAAAAAGGTTTTAGTTGCAGGAGTACATCAGTATAAACAATATATTAGAGTCCCGAAAGAGGAATAAAACATGGACTATAAAAAGCTTATCTAAGTAGCTAAAAAACCTAATTTATTTTTTACTTTTAAACCATTACAATTGCTATTTAAATCAATTGATTATATAAACAATTGTTTACGTCAACTTTGTATTTGCAAATCAGAATCAGGAATGAATTTAAAGTAGTTTAGAAAAAAAAACCAAGAATCTATAAGCATTGTCAAGTTTATTGAATAGCGTAGCGCGATTTATTGACGTTTTTCCTCTTTCAATAAATGTCAATAATTCCGCTTGGAAGCGGTTGAATCTGTAAATCTAAGAATTATGTCATTAGGTTAAACAGTGCTAAACACAAAATACGTAGGTTAAAACCTAACCACCGCGATATAATAAATAATTAATAAATACTTAGGTAAGTCCAATATAAATGTTGTCGCGACATACCATTTTGACGACACGTTTGGCTCAGTTTGTAGTGACCCTACTGGCTGTGCCAGCGGTCGCGGGTTCGAGTCCCGCTGGGGGCATTCATTTGTGTGATGAGCACGAATGTTTGTACTCCAGTCAATGTTTGTACTCCAGGGGTGTTTATATTTATAATGTGTATGTATTTAAAGTTATATAAATGTAGTGTATCAACCATCTGGTATCCATAACACCGGCCTCGTAGCTTACCATGGAACTAGATGGTGCTGTGTGTTAATGTCCCAACATATTTATTTATATTTATTTATTTATACCCTAAACGATCCAGAAATCGTCTAAAAAACTCCATTTTTACCATGTCATAGTCTATCTGTGTTCTAAACTCCATGCGAATCCGTCCACCGTGAATAACTGTCCAATAATTTTGTATTCTTCTTCTGTGACAATAATGATGAGGAATATCCATAAGGCGCAAGTCGCCGTTATGTAAAATGAATATGTATAAAATGTATAAAATGAAAACATTGAAGTTTATAAATCTATATAAATAAAAATGATTTTTTTTCGTATGTTCCTTAAGGTCCACGGAAGGTTTTAATAAAGAGAAAAAACGAAAAAAAAAATAAAATTTATATGGCTGACGCTGGCTAATAACTATATATATATATATATATATATATATATATATATATATATATGTATATGTATATATATATATATATATATATATATATATATATATATATATACATTTAAAACGTACCTAGCGACGAACACGAGCGAAGCGAGGGTGAGCCGCTAGTATATAATAAATACACAACATTAGCCGTTATCCTTGACATTGTACTCACTAAAGCAGTGATGCAATAGAACATATCGTAAACGCAGGATATTTCTATCTATATTCTAAAATCTACATACATATATTCTAACGCACATTAATTTTAGTAGGCAGAAAAATCTTATTTGGACCTTCTTAAATGTTTCTTATTTAATAAATATTGTTAAATTATATACATTTGGTAGCAAAAATTGTCATTTGTCCTGGTTTATATTATAGTTTATTGGAAATTTATGGAGAAACCATTACACATCTAATTGATATCTACGAGTAATAAACAATTTTAGGAAAAATAAACAAATGTGAAGTATCGTCTTATTTTGCAACTGTATGAATGATATCCACTTACATTTATTTATAAGGAACTAGCGACTCACCCTCGCTTCGCTCGGGTTCGTCCCTAGCTTGATTCCACATACAAATTTTCATCCCCATTTTCACCCCCTTAAGGGATGAATAATATTCTTAAGTAAATGAGAGATATAAACACTTAGAAATAAAAATTGAAGTTCTTGAGAAAAAAATCCAGGAACAAAGTACCTCAATAAATAATTTAGAAAGACATATTAGGCGCAAGAACTTGGTTATGTTCAGAGTAAAAGAAGGTGAAAAATCCTATCATGAACTAGAGGAAAAAATAGTCTTAAACAAACGCAAGGAGTTACAAACCCAACTGAAGATAAAGAAAAAGACCTAGGCAAAACAGCTTTCTTTAAATATGACAAACTAATTATTGTGGATAATAATAAGAACACTTCTCACCAATACTCAAATAAAAGAAGTCTGCCTGTATCTCCAGAAACGCCTTACCTCAATTATAAACAAAAACTAACAAATAAACAACATACAAAGAAAACCATACCTGGTAATATTAAAGACTTTATATAACAAAAACCAAAATTAACTTTCAACCACACAAATGATAACCAGGAACAACTAAAAACAACACTGCAAGATACAGTTTATTAAACACAGTAGGAACCTCCTCATCTTTATCCCCCTGTACGGCCGGTCACCATAGGGGAGTTCGACCATAACCCTCCAAAGAAAAACAGACATACAATGAACAAAGGTATACATATCTTCACCAGAAAAACTTCTAGAATTAAAAGCAGTATTTCCTACAACAAATCAAAAGAACACAACGATAAAATTATAAACTTGATAAGCATATCAGAAACAAATGATATATTGGAAACAAAATTTGAAAAGAAACCCTTTGCAATCATACAAGCATAATCTCCAACGGAGAGCTCTATGCAGGACTACTTTGGAGTTAACCGAGAGGGGTCTATACATGAAAAAGACATTTACTAAATAAATACATTTAAATATGAAATTAAATACCTAATTTATAATTATTGTCAGAATTAATGTATGGAAATAAAAAGTTAAATAAAAAGTATCCTATGTCCTTTCCAGGGTCTCAAACTATCTTCTTACCAAATTTCATCTAAATCGGTTTAGTAGATCCAGAGATTACCCCCTACAAAGTCACAAACTCACAAACTTTGCCTTTCTATAATATTAGTATAGATAAACTACGTAAGTAACATAAATGTGAGCTATATTAATTATAACATATTATATTGAATTTCCTTCAAGGAATACCCAAGAGGCGATAGATAAATTACGCATTGTCATTCCCCATTGCGAAAACAAAACTAGAATAACAATAGACTTTTCCTACATACATAAACAATTATGTCTTAATAAGGCGCAAAATTCAAGGGCTGTGTATCATCTGTAAAATATCATATTTAGATATGATAATTTGATTTGATACCTTCTTCTTCTATAATATAAAAATGAATCGCTGAATGTGTTGGTAAGCGCAAATCTCGAGAGCAGCTGAACCGATTTCGTTAATTGATGGATGGATGGATGGATGGTTAGGATTGATGGATGGTTCTTACGGAGAGAAAAATTTAAAAAATTGCCTGAAAAAGTCTAAAAACAACACTTTTCTATACTCCCTTACAAAAGATTCCTAATAATAATTAAAAGTCAATTTGAACTTTAATACCATATACCATAAAGTTTAAGTGTTAGTGGAGAGGTTCCGGGAAGGCAAAACATTGATGGCAATTGAGTGACGTTAGTATCGTATAAATATTAATGTCAATATTTGTCAATATTATTAACAAAAAAAATGTATATGGCTAACGCTGGCTAATAACTATTTATATCTATTTAAAACGTACCTAGCGACGAACCCAAGCGAAGCGAGGGTGAGTCGTTAGTTTTCAATAATAAAAAAGGTTAAAACATTCTGAAAATTAACTATTCCGCTTCAAAAAGAATTATTTTTATAACGAAGTTGCTTAATGGCAATTTTCAGTAATCTATCTCTCTGAAGTTTTCTTTACTAAATATAGAAATTTGACTTAAGCTCT